TTGTGTTTTCACGCTAAAACGGATACAAACACTATCAGTTTATGACAGAAGTTGTACTTTATTTAATATATCCGAGATATTTTCCTTTGGGCTGTGCGAATACGGCGTCAAAACGATTTTACGGACAAAAACGTTTTTGAAAACGCTGCAAAACGACGCCCGTGTGCACATAGCCTCAATTAATTAAATCTACTCAAACGACCCTGTTCAGTACAATGTCATGACAGTACGTCTAAAAATTCTTGACTTAGGCCAAAAAAAAAAATATGTGGGTTTCCGGTTTCCCGACCCTACCTAGCTTTTGGACGTCGAAATCCCGACCCTAAACTTTTTTATTGGATCATGCTTGTAAGTGTTTCCACATAGAGGAAAAAGTTTGTGGAAAATTGAAATTTGAGGAAATATTAGGGAAATTTATTTTTGGATGTGGAAGCACTGACTAAACAAAATGGCGTCCGCTTGTTCGGAAAATTAAAAAAAAAGTTTAAAAAAAAAAGTTAAAACCGACCTACCCTACCTAAGTTTTTATAAGAAGAAACCGGAAACCCACATATTTTTTTTTTGGCCTTATCATTTCTTCCAAGACATATCCTTTACGTTACTTAATCCGTCCATGTATAGCTGTTCTATGCCAATGTTTCGTAAAATATACTTTAGATATTATTTTATCTTTAGTTATAATTAAATAGAGCATTTTGATACAGAATACTGATACATACATACCACTTTGTTTTACTCACGACTGCTATGTCTTTAAGCTTTCTCTGGTTTCCATTCTGGATCAAAATGACTTTTAATATCAGACCAGACCTTGTAATAATCTTTGTCCAGTTTCTCCGACGTTTCTGCCGCCCATTTTGTAACAGCCAAACTTAAACACGACTCGAACATGAACGCCTAAACCAAAGAGAATTAAGAAAAGTGAGGGAACTGTCTTCGTCGCCACCTGACGAGAGAGATAAAGACAACTTCGAGGTTCACGTAAAGGTTTACAAAAGTTCATTGTTTGTCGAGCTCAACAGCCTGAATAGATGTCATTAATAGGGTCAAAATAACATAGAAACCAGCGTAATTACGACCAAAAACGAGGATAGCTTTCATTGAATGCTAGCTACACTGATGAGTTAAAATGAAAAGCGGGCTCCACAATAGAGACGTATACAAACCATTGTGCCATCTGCAACTCTTTCAGGTACTAGATTCTCAACATTTGATGCTTTTTCAAAACATTCTTTGTCAGGACCATGTGGTGTCATCATGCTATGTAAGCTTGCTCCACCAGGAGCAAATCCTTCCTCCTGTAATCAAGTTACGGCGAAGTTACAAGTAGGTTTCACGAAGCACTATCGTGCAGCAGATGGTGGTCAACCAACAGTTGTCAGAGTGAGAAAATAATAACTTTATTTATACTGCATATTTCTTTCAGTTCTAAACTGTTCTTCCTATAGGGGTCCAGTAAGGATCATCTCTTATTGATCCAGTGTTACTACAGGAGGAAACCTAAACTAAACAAACTTTATTTATACTGGATAGCTCTATCAGTTCTAAACTGTTCTCTCTAGAGGTCCAGTAAGGATCATCTCTTATTGATCCAGTGTTACTACAGGAGGAAACCTAAACTAAACTAACTTTATTTATACTGGATAGCTCTATCAGTTCTAAACTGTTCTTCCTAGAGGTCCAGTAAGGATCATCTCTTATTGATCCAGTGTTACTACAGGAGGAAACCTAAACTAAATTAACTTTATTTACACTGGATAGCTCTATCAGTTCTAAACTGTTCTTCCTAGAGGTCCAGTAAGGATCATCTCTTATTGATCCAGTGTTACTACAGGAGGAAACCTAAACTAAACTAACTTTATTTATACTGGATAGCTCTATCAGTTCTAAACTGTTCTTCCTAGAGGTCCAGTAAGGATCATCTCTTATTGATCCAGTGTTACTACAGGAGGAAACCTAAACTAAACAAACTTTATTTATACTGGATAGCTCTATCAGTTCTAAACTGTTCTCCCTAGAGGTCCAGTAATGATCATCTCTTATTGATCCAGTGTTACTACAGGAAGAAACCTAAACTAAATTAACTTTATTTATACTGGATATCTCTCTTAGTTCTAAATTGTTCTTCCTAGAGTTCCAGCAAGGATCATCTCTTATTGATCCAGTGTTACTACAGGAAGAAACCTAAACTAAACTAACTTTATTTATACTGGATAGCTCTATCAGTTCTAAACTGTTCTTCCTAGAGGTCCAGTAAGGATCATCTCTTATTGATCCAGTGTTACTACAGGAGGAAACCTAAACTAAACTAACTTTATTTATACTGGATAGCTCTATCAGTTCTAAACTGTTCTTCCTAGAGGTCCAGTAAGGATCATCTCTTATTGATCCAGTGTTACTACAGGAGGAAACCTAAACTAAACTAACTTTATTTATACTGGATAGCTCTATCAGTTCTAAACTGTTCTTCCTAGAGGTCCAGTAAGGATCATCACTTATTGATTCAGTGTTACCACAGGAGGAAACCTAAACTAAACTAACTTTATTTATACTGGATAGCTCTATCAGTTCTAAACTGTTCTTCCTAGAGGTCCAGTAAGGGTCATCTCTTATTGATCCAGTGTTACTACAGGAGGAAACCTAAATTAAACTAACTTTATTTATACTGGATATCTCTCTCAGTTCTAAACTGTTCTCCCTAGGGGTCCAGTAAGGGTCATCTCTTATTGATCCGGTGTTACTACAGGAGGAAACCTAAATTAACTTTATTTATAAAAAAGCATGAATTCAACAGGTTTTTGACAATAATTCATACCTTTGCTTCATAATTTCCAAAGATCAGTCCCATAAACTCACTCATGCAATTCCCTAAAAACAATTTATCAATTTTTACCACACGTTGACAAGGTCTGAGAGAAAATAATTCGTGACACTTTGAAACTTTCAACTTACTGTGATAGTACGGAGGTCTAAATGTGTGCTCAGCTACTCCCCACCGGGGTGGGAAGATGACAAAATCTGCGATCGCCACTCCAGGCTTTACACTTGGACAGGTTAGAACCGTGAAGATAGATGGATCCTTTAGAAAGGTAATGTAGTTTTTACTAAATATTGAATGTGTGTTTCTATGCTTTAGTAAGCAGAGAACAATATATTGAGGCATCGCACGATCGAATTATCCGAAAAATAGAACGAGAACTTTGACGTTTTTCAGCGATTGCTCTTCGTTTAGAAGTTAGAGAAGGACGTTTGCTCGAACCCCAAAATTCTTGTTAAATTTTTCATATACTCCGACCCCTCAAGTGTTTGGTGTTCAGGGCAGGAAAAATAATTTTCTTCCTGCCTGGAGACGAAAATTTCCTGCGGACCAACGGAGTATTTTTGTGCTAAATCTGCATGTGCATGAACATATAGTGTTCTAAATGACCATGGTTTTAAATTCAAGGACTAATAATGTCTGTCAACCATATGTTGTTGCGCCCAAAGTGAGACATGGGTGTTAAGGTTTCCTTCAAATTTTCATTAGCAAATCTTCATTCAAACAAATTTCCTGTAATGCTTGTGATGTTACTCTGAGTGTATATCCACACCGGGCAAGCTTGAAAAGTATGCCTGACACGGTGGGAATCGAACCTACGACCTTTGGAATACTAGCCCAACATCACAAGCATCATATGAACATCACAAGCATCATATTCACCTGAGTACATTACACCAACACAAAAAAAATCACGAATTTCCTGTAGCTGTTTAACATTTCCTGCGAGCAGTGCTCGCCTATTTATTCCACCCCTGTTGGTGTTTATAATTTTGTTTCAGGTAGTCTAAATAGAGACTAACCCAGCTTATTCTATATACAAAGTACTTCAGAAAACAAAAACGAAGCAAGCATACCGCGTGATCAAATGAGACAGCATTGATAACCATAAAGTTGGCAAGATCATATTTATAAGGAACATAATTACCAAACCACGCTACCACATCAAATGGACAGTGACTCTATATAACAAATGACATACAGTATCTGCTTTTAGCCAGAAGCCAGAAGGGCGTCTGGGAACGCCCTACAACGAAAAAGGGACGCCTTTGGACGCCATCCAAAATTCTGGAGGAAAATTATTCTCAACAATTCCAATAAAAATTTCGAATGAGCTATAGTACGCTATGTAGATGCTGACATGAAAAAACTGTAAAATATGATACTGTTTACAAGACCCAACATTCAAAGGTTTTCCAGGGAGACATAGTCTCGAAATCCGCCCTATACGTATGTCGCCGCCGAAATGGAATGGATGCCCTCTTTCAGAATCCTGACTAAAAGCCCGAGTACCCTTATAGCAACATAGGAATTTATGGGGCCAAAACAATTATTGAAATATTAACTTCCAAATATCCCCCAACTGGGAATCGAAGCAATGCAAGTTTTTAGCGTACCAGCTTACCAACGAGGGAGTAATCAACTGAATGTTTAACTACACTGATTGATGATAATGATTACAAGCTAACTTCATTGATTATATTGGCTGGCTGATAGATTATATTGGCTCAGATAATCACCTGTTTTGCTGAAAACAGAGCTCCCTGAAACTTGCTGATGACAGTGTAGCCATCAGAAGGGCGGCGATCTTCAAAACATGCGACAGGTGTGAGAAAATCACGCGGGTTTGCCAGACCATTTGCACCTGAAATGAATGACGAAATTAAAGCCATGTTACATCAGGTCCTCCCGAAGGAAAAATAAATTCAACTAAAACTAAAAAAATTACCTATAGGTCCTAAATTAGGAAGCTGAAAATGTCCGTCAAATACTTCAAGTACATAACCGCGAGATGGCTTAGTAACATCAACACTGAAACGCATCCCTTGCTGAAAAATGTACAACAAATATGAAAAATACACAACAAAGAAATTGATGTGTTGTTTCATTGGCATGGTTGTCATTTGAATGTTCAATAAACCAAGAAAACTTAATTTACAGATTAATTTTTACAAATACCTGAATGACACAAATTTCATTTGGTTTTACTGATATCTTTCCAAACTCCGTGGTGATTTTTAATGTGCCTTTTTGTGGAACTACATTGTATGTAATACATAATTTGCGTCATAAAAGTGACACTGTTGGGAACTGGGGAGTTGAAGTAGGGTCAGCACTGATGACCATTATAACTGGATGGTTAAGCATTTACAGGACAGCCCTGGTAAGTCTGGTAGTCATCTTTAGAAATGTTGATACTTACAGGAGCAAAAAAACAAACAACATGTCTTAAAGGGTGATTCCATGCAGCTATACTAGACTAAATTTGATCAAGGCAAGAAGAACAAAATCCAACACCACAGCTAGAAAGAGCGTCTTAGAATGAGTAAAACTGCAAAGATTGGTTGCTAAATGTTGTAAAATGAAGAAAATATAGCCCTGTGAAGTTCGCAAGTTTTGTATATATTTGTATTACGCGCGGTAAAAATAACCACTTTCGGCTGAAAAATGGTTATTTTTCCCGCGCGTAATACAAATATATACAAAGTTTGCGAACTTCACAGGGCTATACTTTCCTCATTTTACAACAATTCGCAACCAAACTTTGCAATTTTACTCATTTTAAGATGCTCTTTCCAGCTGTGGTAATGGATTTCGTTCTTCTTGTCTGGATCAAAATCTATACCTGGAGTCATCCATTCTATTTATTTACCACTGAACACAAAACTGAGTGGAATAAAATGAAAAGAATTATAACATTATTTTCCAACTCTGATAACAACAGGTTGACCATCATCTGTTGTATAATAGACCAATGTGTAATCTAGATAATCTAACACATCAATGTGTGGATCTAATGCAAACTAGACTTACCAATGAGAAAATCACCATCTGAATTATACATACACCTAAAAGAGAAGAGTTGGGTTGATAGTCCATCTCATGTACTTGTTTCCAAAATATTCCCAAGACATGTACAGAAACATACCTATCTTTCATTGATATGTTACAGGAATAGATATATATAGCAGCTCCACTCCGTACTTTGGTATCTCCTGCACCACATATTGTTTTCAGACTCTTTAAAGAACATATTCAAACTAAGTTCTTTATAGGTTTGCATGGCAATCAATCAATTTATTAATTTAAAAATAAATACCTCAACAAAATCTACTGAGTCGTCTTCAGTGGGCAAGTCAAAAGGCTTCCATCTGAACTAAATAAAAAGAATAATTTCTTCTGTTTCAGAATGTGGTTGTTGTGAAATTAAACTAAAGCTTTATGTAATATATTTCTCAGCTTACTTGATTTGGATCAGGTGGATATTCATCCCAATTGTTGGTAAAATAATCAACTTCAAATTTTTTGAATGGTTCATGAACGGCTGATGGCCGTATGCGATAAAGCCAGCTAAAAACCAACAACAATTGGTGGGTTAACCTTTAAATGCTAAATGCATCCTAATGTGCCCAATGTCATTTTACTCTCACTGTCTAACATCAGACAACTTTACTTATAAAGGAGAGTGCTGGCATTCAATGGGTTAATTTCAGTCTCAGGGCCTAACAAAAAATACCTGTGGTTTCGGTTTCCAGACAAACCCTATTTTTTCTGCCGACCTTATTATTTTTTCAACGCGATTGACTGTGCAACTCTATTTTCTCCGGGTGGTTGCAGTCTACTCATACAGCGTGCTAAAATGGCATTTGTTGTCAAAATAATTATTGAACCAAATTGCCTAAATTCGTCCGTAGGAAATATGAATCTCTAGCTGATATTGACATCGGGACTCAAGAGCCATCACCCAGCAAAAAAACTGCCAAAACTATGAAAAAAATATTAAAAAAAAAAATTGTTTCCGACCTAGCTACCCTAATTTTTTCACGATATGAAACCGGAACCACAGGTATTTTTTTTAGGCCTAGTGGTGAACATCAGATATGTTAATACTTATAAGAGCTACTGAAAATAAAACAACATTTCTCAATTCTATTCACCTGCCAACAAATGCAAGACTATATACACTACTATATTGAAAATAATTAGCATAGACCACAGTCATCTGTTTAATCAAACCTACTGATGCCATAAAAAAATTTCAAATCTCAATTTCTAATGTAGGAAATGAGATTAGGAAATTCATTACAGCCTGTAGAGGAGCTAGAATGATACTTTAAAACTTAACCAACCTGCGCTTGTTTGTCTCTCGGGGTGAGGTAAACGATGACCCAGAAAGTTGTTCAGCATACAAACCATAAGGACATTTTTGAGGATTATTCTAATAAAAAACATACCTCAGAAACTACACACAGACCTCTATGGAGAACAGTTTACAACTGATAGTGCTATCTAGCTGGCAATAAAGTTAATTTAGTTTAGGTGTCTTCCTGGAGTAACTGACTGTAGCAAGGTAGCATTCCTTATTGATGGCTCTTACTGGACTTACAACTGATAGGGCTTCTATACAGTTATCTGTAAATATCAAGATTTTGTTGACATCTCACTCAATTACTGTCGTTCCAATTGAAGTGTTCCTCAAATATTGATTCAATACATTACCTCGGGCTGACCAATTCATTTGATCAAGTTCCTCGAGATATTCATACACTTCCTGTGAAAGGGCCAATTCCAAGAATTTGATCATTTCTGGTCACTTCCTTTCTATTTATGATTGGTTAGTTGCACAAACAACAAAGGTGATCATTCAAACTATTTAACAGGAAGTTTACAATTATACTAGGAAGTGTATGAATATTTCGAGGAACTTGATCAAATGAATTGGTCAGCCCGAGGTAATGTATTGAATCAATATTTGAGGAACACTTCAATTGGAACGACAGTAAATATTAGTTGAAGGGTAGTGTAGATGCCAACAAAATCTTGATATTTACACATAACCTACATGTGGCAGTACCCTAGTATATATATATATACATGGGCTTGTGGCTGGGGCTCGACAACTGGCTTCTGTAGCTTGGTGGGTTGGGGCACTGCGCCGGAGTCACAGGTTTGATTCCTGTCAGGGACCTAAAGTTGCATTTTTCGGTACTGTTCCTGGTTAGGTATATTAAATGCATATAAATTTCCACTCGATAATTTCCATCTACAATATCCTTTTTAAACAGTTGTTTATATACGTTTGATTTTCATAATTTGTTTTACGCAATAATATTGACAATCAAATATCTCTGACAATCAAAACTGTACTTATTAAATGTTCAGAATATTAAAGACAACTACTTTCTACCATATGTTAGTATTTTGTACAATATTATAGAGCTTTAAAAGAGAAAACAGCAGAATTGTACAAATTGTAAAATAAATTATATTGCGTGCAGAGCGTGCACTGGTGCACCATCCATTGAAATGATAAATATTAAAAATTTACATACTTGCCCTTTGGGGAGTGCGTCTTTTAACGCTTCTGACGAAAATTCATTTCCAAAACCTGACATATACTAAGAAAATACAAACAAATCAAATTAGTCAATAAAGTAAGGAAATAAATATAAACTAAAAGAAATAAACGAAAAGAAAAAAGGTTACCTCAAAATCGGCCATGTTTTAATTCGTCGTGTGGCAATTTGTATTCGAAAGCTGATTGGTCCGTACGAACCACGGTACAAACACTCCCCCAACACGCCCTCTTTCGCCACAAAAACTTATATATTTCGAATGCTTATTTTTTATGATAATTTTTATAATAAAAATTATTTTGCTTTTATATAATAATTATAATATAACTATTATAATAACTTATTTAAATGATTTAAAGCGGAATAGTCGTGACAGTTTGCACTAAATCAAGCAAATTTTGACGCCCTAATTTGTGAAAATGGGGATAATAAAAAGCATGTTGGGAACCGAGGCGATAGCCGAGGTGTTTTAAAAATACAAAACTTTGAGTGTGTAGTTACCACTGGTAGTTACTAGTAACTTCAAACGAAGGTAATAGGTATTGAATGCTAAATGGTATCAAAGAGGGTCGAGTCGGGTTGTTTCCAGGAAACAAAACATACCTTCCAGGTGATCTCGTGTTCGTATTTTAGCCAATCAGCGCTCAGGAAGGGTTGTCCGAATAGAAATCCATTTTGATGTATTCAGTCAATTATATTTTTCGTTATTCTTTATGAAACTAGTTGAAATTTTGTAATTATGTTTGGTTATGAGAACTCTAACTCTGACAAAAATATGGAATCGAAATAAAGTATATTACAGGAGATATTCAGTTGTTTTACAGTAATCATAAAATGGATTTCTATTTGACAACTAGTGCCAGTACTTTTCCGCGTATCAAGATCATCTGGTTGTCAGTGGGGACACAAGAACAAAGCCAAAGAAATCATAGGGAACATGTTAAAATCTTTGTGGGGAACAAAAGGAACAAAGGGAAAACTTCCAAGGGATCACAGGAACAGACACCCCCTCCCTGGTAGACTCTCATCAATGCAACCTTTTTATTTTGGGCATCAATATTAAGTTGAAAAATACCTGCAACACACAATATCCGAATATCACGATGGGAAATTAAACTGAAGTCTGAAGCACGCGAAACAAAGTGATTTGCCTCTGCCCTTTCAGCATTAAACTAACAAGCTAAACTAATAGGTAGTTTTCATGATCCAATGTTTGCTAAGCGTCGTATGTCAAACAAAGAATTTAAGCTCGAAATGCCTTCTATATTTAAATAACAATAAAACACGATATTGCTCTTAATACACGCTAAGACAGAGATATCAAAATTAACAATCCGCTACACTGAAGCAGGAATATAGTTACAACGAGTAAAGTTACTAGATCATTAACAGACGCTATTCCAAGCTTTTTACAATTTGTGAACTAATCCTTAAGTCTTTAAACCAAGACGATTAGCTGGAAAAATTCATAACTGAAAGATTTAGAGATATATTTGTGTTGCTATGGTGGTATAAATGAGCGTTATGGCGCGTCCGAGACGAAACGCTGCTTTACCGATCCTTCCATTAGTTGGTAAAACTGAAGATTCTTCAAATTGTTCTGATAGTAACACTCAGGTAAGTTTGATTTATGTTTTAAAACGAGTTTCATAATTCTTCATGCTAAATTAACCCTAAGTGTGACCTGACCTGATCCGAAGAAAAGTTTGCCTTACCAAAAAGATTAAGATCACACATACTTAATGGATGATGATTACTCTTTCCTCCATTAGATATATCTAACTCCTCCTTGTGCAACAACTGATTACGAAGACAATGCCAGGGGGGAGCCTGCATCAGTAGAACGATACAAACTTGTAGTAGTCGGCGATGAGGAATGTGGAAAGACAGCTTTATTAAATTCATTGGTGAAAAGTCCTGATTTTGAGGTAGGGAAAAACGTTAGCCCTTAAGAAGTAGTGCTCTTATGGTGTAATTGTATGTGTGTCTGTCTGTCTGTCGGTCCGCGTTTGTCCATCAGCACGATAACTGAAAAACCGGTATCAAACGTGAAACGTATCAATACGAAAATCTGATGGACTTTGCCCCGTAATTTGCCTGCTATATAATTTATGCATGATATATAACTCAAAAATTCGCTGGCGGAGGTATGCAGTCTCCGAGGTATACAGTCTCCGAATGCTCTCCGAGGTATGCAGTCTCCGAGTGCCCTCCGAGGTATGCAGTCTCCGAGTGCCCTCCGAGGTATGCAGTCTCCGAGTGTCCTCCGAGGTATGCAGTCTCCGAGTGCCCTCCGAGGTATGCAGTCTCCGAGTGCCCTCCAAGGTATGCAGTCTCCGAATGCCCTCCGAGGTATGCAGTCTCCGAGTGCCCTCCGAGGTATGCAGTCTCCGAGTGCCCTCCGAGGTATGCAGTCTCCGAATGCCCTCCGAGGTATGCAGTCTCCGAGTGCCCTCCGAGGTATGCAGTCTCCGAGTGCCCTCCGAGGTATGCAGTTCCGCGAGTGCCGTCCAGTGGTGCCGTCTGGTTAAACCTAAAACCCTGGTGGTTCGCCGGATGAAGGGCTGCATGCAGATAGCGCATTATCAAATAGACAGAGGACAACTTTTTATTCCAGGTAGATGATTCCTTTACAACATTTGATGAATGTGTGACTGATATTAAAACTCCCCAAGAGCATGTTGAGTTCACTTTGTATGAAATAACAGGTATCTACCAAAACATCCAATTTTATCCTTTCAATAATCCTGTTATACTTTTGTTGATGAAAAGATCCGTTGTTGACTTCCCAGTTGATTGCTTTTCTCTTTTCCTCCGTGTTTCCTTAATCTACTAAACAATATCTTTTCTACACGTATTTCTCTTCTGCAACTTCATTTCTTCCCTCCCATCTTCTTTCGTCCTTCTTCCTCCATTCCTAATCCTCTCTTTATCGCTTGCTCACTTCTCTATTTTACATCGTTTTCAAGGAATGGACGATTATCGAAGTTTCCGTCTCGAGTTGTACAGAGGAGCAGAAGTCTTCTTAGTTTGTTTCGATATCGGTAGACCAGCAACACTTCACAGTGTTGTACACAAGGTAATGGCGAAATGTGGCATCCTATGGACTTGACTGTTTTGTGAAGGCTGATCAAAGTTTCTGTCGGATCACAGTAGGAATTTTGCATCGGTAAATTCTCAGTTTTGAAAGATTTGTAAGAAAGAAATTTTTGAGGGAACTGTTCACGACTAAGGTAGTCAGTTTCCTCAAACATTTCTTACAAATCCTTTAAAACTTAGAATTTACCCATGCAAAATTCCTCCTGTGGTCACAGAAACTTTGATAGTCTTACATTTAAAAGTGATATATTTTATTTTGCTAGTGGTCATCAGAAATAACTCATGAATACCCAGATGTTCCATTTCTCTTGATTGGATGTAAGAATGATCTACGCACCGATTCAGCGGTGTTTTCCACATCGAATGGTCACAATACCACAGATGAGGCAGAAAGCGTTTCACGTTTAAAGGTGGGCTGTTGTTCATTGGTTTTTTTTTTAATTTTCGTGTTTATAAGAACGCAATACGGTTGATCGCTAACTAATAGTGATTCTTGCAAATAGTTCATCAGATTTGTCTCCATAGGTCCCAGCAGAATTAGTTGTACTGGTTCAATGAAAATACGTTCATTTGATACATCATACATTAACCACAGACCGCGGTATATCCCTGCGTGCTAAGAGCGACACTACTTCAAAGCTCATCCTTGTTTGATGTGGGGATTTAATAAGAGAACAGTACGACTCACATACATTTTGTTACAGTTCACTTTCAGATTAAGCATGTACATAAAACCATCAGTTTATCAACTCTGTAACTAAGAAGACGCGTGCTGAGCAGTCCCTAACTTGCGTCTATTTTTCCTTCATTAGGCCGAGACAGTAGCACAAAGTATCGGCGCTAAAGCATACGTTGAATGTTGCGCTAAGACAAGATGGAATATTGATCGTGTATTTAAAGCAGCAGCCGAGGCAATTCTTACTAAAGATGATGAGAAAACAGACCTACATCATACGAAACATAATTCTGTTTTAAGAAGATTTTCAAGACTTACTTCGGAGAGAAATCACTCCAGTTTAAAACGAGGCTCCATATTTTCTTTCGTAGTTGGTTCAAATGCTTGACTGTTTTGTTGGTTGCGGTTACATATCCTCCTAGCTTTCATGCAAAATAGCGTTTGGGTTTATAGGATTGTGATCCAGATCACAGAGAAACATATACGCCTGTATTCTAAAAGCTCACTCACACTCAAAGAGTGGAGGTTCAATCTGAGCTTCCCTTGAGTGTCAATGCAGTTTTTGAATAGCTGGAGGGTTAGTGTCGTACCTTACTATGTGACTGCTCACGCTCCAGCTATTCAAAAACTGCACTGACACTCAAGCTATGACTCAAGGAGAGCTCAGATTGAACCTCCACTCATTGAGTGTGAGTGAGCTTTTAGAATACGGGCGATAGTCATGCACGAAACATCAAGCCCCGAGCCCAAGGATGCGGAGAGTTGATGAGTTGGTAGTCACGTATTGTTACAGGGGACATTTAAAGCTCTAGATTAACAAAATAAAGGTTTGATGAATGTTTCAACTATGTTTTAACTTAAATAGAATACATGATAGTGTTGGGAAAGCATTAAGAACAGCTAACCTCGTGTGACTAGTGCCAACTCTCATGCATTCTCATCCGTCGTTTGGTCCGTGCTTTAGAATGACGCACACACTTGTAAATATATACTGAATGTTGGAGAGTTCTCAATACCGTAAAGATAGAGCAAATATAGTTTAGTTTATTTTCACAAGCAATGGTTTCATTATCCAGTACAGCAGTGAAGGTTTTGAGGTATGGGTTTATAGCCAACCTCTACACTACAGCACAGTGGCCGAAATAAAAATCACTCTTTTCTTTGGTAGGGGCAAACGGAGCAAACCTCATGAATTCAGTCCAACATAAGCAGAGTTTAATAACTCTCAAATTTTCCTGTTTTAGCCTTCTGCAGTTTAAAAATTTCCAAATTTGAAGCATTCAAACTATTCAATCCACCAGTACTGGGGTTAACGCCCGCATGCGCCACCTGCGAACAGGTAATCAAAACATGGTTGTCATGCCAACGAAAATAAGCCAAGATGGTGGCCAAAAAGTTGTTATCGGTTTACGGTTTATTAAAAAATGTCGAGTTTCATCAAGCAAGCGGAATAATAGAGGTTAGTTTGAAGATCAATATATCAGCCAAATATTTAGATTATCATCTATCTAAATTTACAACAAGTGGTGTTGTATTACAACACTTAAATGTCACGTATGTTTTGCCCAGTTTTGGTGTACAAAGTGACTATATGACCGGCAGTTTGGTGTATGTACTTGTATAGTTCATAGTTGCATACTTGCATTGCGTTTTAGGATTTATATCGACAAAATAAAAATGAATTTCAACAGCCAATCTGCAAGGGTATGTTGGAATATGAATGGGTTGCTTTTATGGAGGCCAAGACAAAGGTATTTTGCAGTTCTCTGATCTCGTTTTTCAGCTGTCAGCCTGTCACTAGCAGATGGTCGTCAAATTTTGTAGAAATGTTTTACACCTGTACTTGTACATATATTAAATGAGATAAACATTATTTCTCACTCTGAATAACTGCAGTTTGACAGCCATCTGAACCTCTTTAGTGCTTAGTGAAACCCATCTCAATGAGCTCAAAAATATTTTGCTAGAATGTCGGTGGTGAATTGTGGAGTTTTAATGCAGAAGTGATAGTATTTGAAGGCAATACATTGATTGGTGATTATGAGAAATTTATGAAATGGACAGAAACAAACTATCAGTACAATGATTACAGGTAAGATACAGAAAATCCAGAAATTGATGGTTCATTTATTAAGTTTCTGGTAAATAACCACAGACCAATGTTATTTTTAATGTGTTCCCTAGACCTCTACCTTTGTGGCATGCAATGGCCAAGGAGAAATATAAAGCTCATTTGCTGGAATCTAAGGTAACAATCAGTGTTTCAAGCACGAGAAGTAGAATCATCCAGCACCAAATACATGAAGACAAGTGACTGGATGACATGGAGAACAGTGGGATTTTAAAACAATGGAAAGACAATGAAACATTCCAATCAGTGGATTGTGACTAGATAGAACCATTGTTATGTAACAATTAAGTTTTATGCCAAGACCCATTAAGAAGAATGAAGTAACAGTACCTGTAGGGCCATAGGGCAAATTGCAGCTTATCAAATGGATCAATTAATTAAGCTGTTAAGTGGCAATGCATCTAGCTGCACCCTACTTTATTATTTTAGTCTGTCTAATGCCAGACAATTTTACTTGTCAGCTAGGAGGAGAGTGTTGCCACTCAATCGGTTAACAAATGCTCTGTTGCATTTTAGCATCACTTTGTGTATCTGGACATACATGTTTCATCAGAGCCAGTTGGAAGATTATTGATAGAGGTTTGAATATTATATTATATTGTTATAGGTTTTAAATAATTTAGCACTAGTTGTGAGTTATGATCCTAAGAGGATCACTTTATTGTTACTGGTGTACTAGGCAGGAAATATTAAACAATGATACCTTTTTTGTTCAGTTATACAGTGACAAATGTCCGAAGACATGTGGTAATTTCCTAGAACTATGTCGTGGAGGACAAATGGAACATGAGAAACATGATTCACCATTAGAGCTCACTTACAAGAAATCCATCTTTCATAGAATTGTGCCAAATGGTTGGATCCAGGGAGGAGGTATAATAGACTTTTTTGCACAAAACATCCACTGTATTGCAGATACAATCTTATTTTAGTTTTGTTTGTGGAAACACCATGTAAATTTATATGTATATATATATAATAAATTTACGTGGTGTTTCCACAAACAAAACTATTATATGTTTTATCGCCATGCAAACATACAAAGAACTTAGATACAATCTTACTAGTATTTTAGATTCACTTGTCCAACACTTTTATCAATCATGTTTCAACATCATTTAGATTTTGTGACACAAAAGGGTACTGGGGGTCAGTCAATATATGGAGCACTCTTTGAAGGTATGATGATACGTACAATACTAGCTTACCTCCAATGCAGTTTGAAAATTATTCATGAACTGTAGTTTTATATAGTAAGCAGTGGCAAAAAGATAGATGGATGGCTTATTAATACATATTCTCTCTTTCTAGATGAGAATTTCTCTGTACCGCATGACAAACGAGGTGTTGTGGGAATGGCAAATAAAGGCAGACACACCAATTCATCTCAATTTTACATCACCTTGCAACCAACGCCATGGATGGACAGCAAATATGTTGCATTTGGGTAGGTAAAGCAAGCAGGCCAAGTTGAATATCAGTGTAAATTGCATTGCACCCTACTTTATTATATTACTCTCTCCAAAGGGCTCTATCCGCTGAGCACTGGCACTCAATGAGTTAATCGTTTTCAGGCAGTTGAGATATGATATTACTTATACAAGCATTAACATACTGATAAATTGTTTTCTAGGCAAGTGATAGAAGGAATCAATGCTTTAAAAATATTAGAAGACCAAGAAACGTATAATGAGAGACCAAAGAAAACATGTCTTATTGCATATTGTGGAATTTTTGATGTTGAAAAACTATGGACATAGTAATTAGATTGTAGATACAAAAAATTACTTTATTTATCAATGGCCAGTAATTAAAGTCAATGCCTTTGTATGTTTCCAAGACAAGCTTGGTATTACTATAAAATATGTGCAAGCATGTGTGTACATTAGAAATGTAAAGCAGTTTTATTATATTTTTATTAATTTTACTGAGGTGGGAATCTTATATTTTTGTATCATATTATGTATGCTATCGTGTGGAGCTAGTGTGTTTTTTTAATTTAAATTGTTTTTTAATTAATTTAAATTGTTTTGTTGCCTAGCCAACACTTAAATAATTTGCTTTTACTGAAAAACAACGAAACATTATTGAATATACTGCAATATACTTATCAAAACTAGCATTCATGATCAAGTCATTGACAATTTAAAGGTTTGCAACTCTTGATATTCCTGCATGAAATCTTCCCCTCAATCAGGCATGACAACTAATAACCTCTTTAACATCTGATTTTTGAGATTCTTGCATAAACATTGAACATTTACCAAACATATTTTAGTTTATTGCTTTAAAACCTATACTACAAACTTTTTTACTTCCAAATTAAAACAGCGTAAAGGATTATTTTAAAACTAGTTACCATAAAATGTATGGCATTTATCAATGTAAATTTACATTTGAATAAAAATTTGCAAACATAATAGGGTAATCAATATAATTGCCTGCAGCAACGCCAAGAAATCTAACTATTTAAGCAAATATAGAATATGTGATCAGAAAGGTGTACTTGAACATAAACAAGTTATCAACCAGGCTAGACAGTCTCTTGTGAATGTATCTAGCTGCAAATCACCATAGCTACTTTGTTATTTTACTTTAGTCCAATGCTATAACAATTTACTCAACAAATGGAAACTGTTGGGTGTTGATAGGTTAACCAGACTATCTGAGTGGTTATATTACTACCTGAAATAAACAAGCAGAAACTCGACATTTCGAGCGAAGGCCTTCGTCAAGAGTTAATTATTTCAGGTAGTAATATAACCACTCAGCACAGCAATTTCACATTGGTACTACCTAGACTGATTAGTGATTTTTCAACCTTTGTAAAAATGCTTGAAAAACTGTGAAACTATGGATACAGACAACACAAGAAGTATAAAAAGCATTTAACTTATAAATACTAAACTTTAATACGAGTTATACCAATCCACGACCGATTTAACAAATATGATTTTTCTGTGTTGGTGTTGTGTACTCAGGTGAATATGTTGTGATGCTCGCTCGGTGTGGATATACTCTCAGAGTAACATCACAAACATGATTTAAGATTAGATTCCGGCCCCTGATGGATAGGGAGTCAACTACCTAAAAAATTACAAGTAGAACTTCAATGTTTCGAGCGAGGGCCTTTCCGCTAACTTCCTGATGAAGGGTCATCACTCGAAATGTCAGTTTTACTTGTATTTTTGAAGTAGTTGAATCCCTCTTCATCTGCAGTTTCCTGTATGTCCTTGTCAACTTATTATGTTACAATGAGTTCTATTGCACCCAAGCTTACTTTATTTATCATAGAGAAAGTGTTGGGCATTGGGATGTATTTATTTAGTCAAGTATTCTAGTCATCAAGAGAACCAAATCACCAAAGGTTAAAACAACAAGTATATTTTGGTAAACAAACTTAGTTGAGTGGGAGAGTAGGATGCCTGCTAGGTTTGTGACCTCAATTTAAAAGATGCTGAGATACTATGATAGAATATGCCCAGCATATTACTACATCTGTATAATCAAATAGCTTTAAAGCAACATATGCAGTATAGTTTTCAGGCATATCTTATATATAATGACTCATGATGCTATTTTCTGGTAGCCAAAGTGATGCCAACATTCCCTACAGCTGATGTGATGATATACTTTTAGACACACGATTTGGACTAAAAATTGACTGTTGAAAAAACAAAGCTGTTATGATACTGCTATAAACAATTTATATGCCCAAAACATCAGGGAATCTTTATGAACAAACATTTACTGTAATAGAAAAAAATTATCATAACAGTGAACAATGAAATTGTAGAATACAGCTTTATGAGGATAAATTATTTCCGATTTAATTGTTACCATTTCCTAAACAGTCTTTTTTCAAGAGCCACATGTAGTGCATGTATGATCACACATTACTGTATAAGGCCAGAACTAAAAAAATATAGCCTGCTAGCAGCAATATCATACTGGGTCACCCTATTTATAATACCCATATTGTCGGATATCTTTTCTTAAATAAGATATAATACTGTATATAAAACACCAAGGATATACTCTATACATATAATATAATTTTTCAATAATCTATGAAGACCCACTGCATAAAAATAGTGGAATTTAAGAAATGGACATGTTTAAGAGAATTAAAACAGCGCAATATTCTACACTCACGCTATAAATTGCAACATTTTAAGAACAATCACGCGATGGAAGCATTTCAAAATTTGTAAAACGCGTCCACATTCTACAAATATTGAAAGTGCGCAAAATATTTTGTCGAAATGTTATGAAGCGTCAACGCTAAAATTATTTAGTCTTTACAAATAAATACTATTGTAAATTGTCCATGAAAAGCTTTCGACTGTCATCTCAACATTCCAATATAAACCAAAGTTGATGTTCAAATTATTGCACATACCGTTTGAAACCTTCAATAATTTCTTTCTCTGAGCATTTCGAATCTTGGAACGATTCGTCTAAATCACCCGCTTCGATGTAGCGTTTCAATGCGCTTAGTTCGTCCGGGATTTCAAACTTTTTATAATATCTTCCAGCGATACGGATATAAAACAATTTTGGCAATAGTTGACAATCTGGAATTGTGATTTCTTCTCCGCTCAGAAATTGCCGCTCGTTATCCGTGAGAAATTGATCAATTCTCCTCAACTCATCAGTAAGTTGCTTCAACTTCCCTTTCTCAGGCTCGCCTTTAGCTTTTAGGTAGAAGATAAATTTCTGAAATATATCCAACTGGACTTTGTAGGCTTTTGGGTCTTTACTGCGTAAGAACGGTTTAAATTTCTCTTCCAAATATGCTTCGATTTGTGGCGGATCATCAACCAACATTCGATCACCAGCGGCCGTGTAAGCATGAACCAACAGAGGTAGCTTAAGGCTCTGATCTTCCACGCCATATTTTAATAATATATCCTTCTTATATACTGTATCAACGGGCACAACCTTGGCATTAGGGATTTCTTTCTTTGCTATCATAAACATGAATCGGTGACTGAATATATCCTCGCCAAATTTCGATTCTCTATCGCCTTTTATGACTGGCCCCTAGGTAGATAACGATGTTTAGCATTGGTTTTATGGCTCAAAACACACACACACAACGAAAGCCATGGACTCAAATAGAACATACACGTATAACACATATATTAAACTTACCTTCACAAAAAGCAATAGCTCGCCAGCTGTTTCGTTGCTCATTTTTCTTGTGATATTTTCAAGCTTACGTTGTATATATCAAGCAGTTCAAATTGATTTTGTTTCGTCCCACCCTAATCACGCATGCGCACGATTGAACACAAAGACTTCTCGTTTCCAGGGTCACGCACAGTGGGTGACGCGGATCTCCTATATCTATATGAACAAGCTTTCGTTTGTGGGGATGCAACTACCTGAAAAATACAAGTAGAATTTCTCGACGTTTCGAGCGAAGGCCCTTCGTCTGGAGTTACTAGTGATGAAGGGCCTTGAAACATCGAAATTCTCCTCATCCCTACTAGAGGTGTGCATCGGATCGGATTGGACTTTTATAATCCGACAATTGGCTAATGTTTAAAATCCGATCCGAAATTGTCTAATCCGAATCCGAGTTGTAATAAAGTATTCCGATCTGAAGAATTCTTTAATAAAATAAATTTTTCATTCACGTTGAAATGTTTAATTAACCAAATCAATATAAAAACAAGAAATACATGTCAAGAAGCTGACAAAGTGACGTCCAATTGAAGTATCAAACGAAAAATGCAGCAACAACTGCGATAATGCTTTGATAAATGCATGGATAATTAATTCTTGCAATAATACGTGGATAATTAATTCATTTTATTTCGAATATCGAAGTCCGATCCGATCCGACTAATCTTGTGAGGTCACTGGGTAGCTCAACCACTTCAACTTGCAATAGAGGTGAACAGATACCCTGGTTCCAAAGGCTCTTTACAAGGCAAAAGAAACGAGAAGGAAGAGCCTCTGGTCACATCGATTGCAAATCCCACTTCCACACTTGATTAGGTTCAGAATTTGAACGCAATTCCTGTCGATACTGCATTCTATGGCATAGAAAAGTAGAAAATCTTTTGTCGAATGAAAAAGCCTTTAGACTAGAGGTAATAGTGTGTAAAGGTACATTAATTAACACACTACTGCAATTTCTTGAGCTGGTTTCAGACACACTTGAATGATATGGAATATTTATGTGGCAAACTTCATCTGAAAGTCACAATCACTGGCCACAATGATCAGTCCAGTTATTTAAAGATCAGTATTCATCCAGTTCCATCATAGATATAACTGATATAATCGATCTATGAGACTCAATCAAATATCCGCCTCACGGGCAACAGCTCAGGCATTCAGTGCGGCGGGCAGACATGTGTTTGCAGGCATTTTCATTTCGGCACATCAACTTCCGGCAAGCTATATCCGGTGCTTGATCATTTATTAGCTGGCGAACTTTTTTATAAACGTCTTTTTACGTGGCAAACTTGCCAGTATTTAAGTAATTATTGTTGAAGTACAAGGAGAATTTTTAACAACTAGCTCACACTAATACAATGTTGTTTCTCAGAGTTAACAAAGTTGCTGTTCAATTGTTTTGTATTGCTTTATTTTGTTTCGTTTTCTTGGCACATTCTGCGCACGGTGAGTGACTTTTTAATGCACATTTTTTTGAAATTGTAGCAATTAAAATTAATGATTCTTACTTTGAAATGTGTTGTGTGTTTTGTAGTTAGTGTTGTAGTTCCTCACAGTTTCTGAACAATATGGGGAAATGCATCATTCATTAATAATTACCTACATGTCCTACACTGTATATATAATTATGTAGCAAATAAGGTATAAGTAGTTAAAAAAATAGAAAGAAATGTACCATACTGATCATGTCCATATCTATTATATATTACTTTATATTGATAAGGAATCCTTCCAACGATCCAGTAACTTGTTTGTTCCTTGTCTTACTTTAACACTCTATTTTATTTTCATATAATATATGTAAATAGTGACGTAAGCTCCTTGATAGAGAGCCTAGCTTGCAAGGTTGCCCCTCGATGAGATTGATAGCTCTTGGGTGAACGGTTAGCACTATTTTCCATCCAGCAAACTGACCTGATGTCATTTTCGGAAGATAGAAGAGGTGTTAAATGGCTATGTAACTAACCCAAACCCTACCCCTACTCTATCCCCTAACCGCAAGCCTAACTCTAACCGAATTAATAAAAAAAACGACTTTAGAAAATCGATAGGGTGGTTTGCTGGATGGAAAAAAGTGCTAACCTGGGTGAACGTCTAATACAAAATATATATGTTTATATAAAAAATGCATAAATGCACTATTTCATGCAGCCATAGTTGTACATTACATACATTGCATGTATTTATATTATTTTAGGTCAAACAGCAACAACAAAAGCAGCAATGTTTGTAACACCAAGCAATGTGATAACGTCAGCAAGTAAGTAATAGTCTGGTATGTTGCAAATTTTCACTGAGTAAGAATGGGGTCCACCCCCCCCCCCATATATCTCATGACTGGTGTAATTCTTTTCCATCCAAAGGAGAGGCAGCTTTCTAATGCTTACTAGATATTGCTTGAAGATGTATGAATATTGTTTTTAAAGATCATAGACATCTCAAACTTTCCAGGGGGTGAGGGGGGTGAGTGGGGGCACTAGAAGAACCCACTATCTCCCAGGTTAGATGCTTTATGAACCCCTCACTCAGATTATGCTTGCTTTGATGCTGCTACATGTTCTGTGGGAGAGGTACAATCACTTGTGTTTTTTGTTTTAATAGTTAATAACTCCAGTGTTTTTTTTTTAATAGTTAATAATGCCAGTGATGCGGTTTTGAAATCTGGTAGTTCAACATTCATCCCAACAATAAGTATCGCTAATGTCAGCAATACCGCTGTCCCTCTCCATATCTCCACTGTGTCCCCAACTGATAAACCTCCAAAAACTACTGTAAAATATTCGCCAAAGGACACCGGTCGGAAATTTGATGGACTTTCATTCTTTGGTGGCATGATTCTGGGAGCCGTAGTATGCGTTGCTTTATTGTTCTCTGTCAAATATTACCAGGCAAAGAAAAGAAGCTACCACTCATTGTAGAAATATTACCGCAACATTGACAAACATAACAATGCAAACATCATTATAGAAACATTACCGCAGCATTGACAAACATAACAATGCAAACATGGGCAAATAAATACCTGAAATTTTGCTTTGTTTTGTTTGTGGGCTTGGGCCAATCAAAATTGTCATACTATGTGTAGCAAACTATCTGTATTTTTACCAGCAACCTGTGTTATATACTAAAATAATATCTAAAATATGCTTATAACTTATTTCTCAATGTCAAAATTTGCTTTAAGAAATTTAATTTTTACATTTGTTTTCTTGATGTGGTGGGGAATATAAGCAATAAAAATAAATAAATAATATATATTATCTATGGTATTAGAATTACCGATAAATATACATTGGTGCAAAATAATTTAAGCAATCAAGGTTCATACAACAGTTATGAACAAAGATTCTGTACAACTCGACAAGCAGGGAAACATGACATCTATCATGATCAATGCCCAGATGCTTTTACTTTGTCAACAGAAGACGTTTGAGAGATATTGCTAACTATTGATCAATGCCCAGATGCTTTTACTTTGTCAACAGAAGACGTTTGAGAGATATTGATCTGTTATCACTTTCCTTTCTCACGGAAATAGTCAGCTAAAATAATGAAATACCACACGAGTTTCAGGAAGCTTATATAGGCCAGCAGATGGTGGGAATATTCAGAAGCAGGTGTATATAGGAGCAGTGGTGGAAATCTTGGTGGGCGGAGGCCGCCCCCATCTTCACAGAAAATTGACGAATTTACAGAAATTTTGATCTAAAAGAGGGCTAAAAACAATCTTTTAGAGTGCAAATGGGGGGGGTGGGGTTGTCAGAAATTTAGGAGGCTTTGCCCCCCACCAGAGAAAGTGAATTTCCGCCACTGTGTAGAAGCATGAGAAAATAGAACTACAAATTACCACCATCTGTTGCATGATAGGGCTTAGTGAAACTCAAAGGGTTTAAAATCTGCTTCTCATTAGGTCAAAAATGCATCAAATTTTCAATCAAAATTTCCATCAACTAAAATCCTTCAACTCCCCCCCACTCCCTATGACCCAATAAGAAGAGTTATTTTTCACCCTGCTCGTTTTCCTTTGTTCTTATCGGGGAATATATTCAATATTCTCCTCTAATCTATTACTGTTTAATAATCCCTCTAATATTCACCTGCAATGTCTTTGCAGCACAAAAAATGAGAAAAAAAAACAACATAACGAAGGCAATACGGCATTAAGAATTATTTCTATTCTGACTCATTAACGCGACCTCACAAATTATGTGAAAAAATAAGTATGTTATTTTGAGGCTCCTCAGGGATATGTGTTTAATATTCACCTTGGCGCTACGCACCTCAGTGAATAAATCACATATCCCCTCGTTGCCTCAAAATAACCTATACATCTTACCAAGTTTTTCAATAGCTTCAACACAAACACTTGGATACATCTCAGCAGAATATGTCGCAACCAAAATCAATGTTGATGTTCTTACCAGAATTATCCCTCTTGATTCCTGTGAGATTTATTAACCCATTCAGTTGCATTGCACCCTAGCTACTTTATTATTTTACTCTAATGCCAGACGATTTTACTCCTCAAGGGGGAATGGGTTAAATATTTGAAAATGCAGAAATCTTGCAAGATATAAAGGACTGTTCATTATTTTTCCCCAGGGTTGGTACCAAAGATTTATATATGGGTTGGGAAATATCAAGTTTTTGACTAACTCATGGGTTGGGTAAAAAAATTTATGGCTGTCTGTCAGCTGAAAATAAAACTAAAATTACCATGCATTGGAAAATATGAAGAAAAATGTGTACAATACATTCTGTACCAAAATAGACCATCAGTGATTGAGGAAGGACTCTATCATTGATCAGCAGGAACGTGATTGCTTTGGCACACTCAGTGAGTTTGAGTGTCAGTGAGCTTTTAGAATTTAGGCAACTTGATTTCTGTCACCATAATCCTGTGTGTAATAATTATTATGCAGTACAGTAACACTGGGTTGGGTAATTATAACATTGTTTTGACCAATGTTGACATTGGGTAAATAAAAAAATTACAGTGTTTTTCGCTTCTCTTCGGTACCAACCCCAAGTATAAATAATGAACGGTCCCTAAGGATATGGACCAGTTTACATAACAAGTTTCAGTAGTCATCAAGATTTAATTTTTGAGATGTCAGTTCACCTTCTTGAAACATCAGTTTCAGGTAGTCGAGACACAAACTGGTCACAGCAATCGACCTACACTAGACAGGTAGACCCTATGTTTGAGATGTCTTTTTCAGTCATTCCAAACACAAGTCATGGTAGCTTACAAAATACTGAGGGCCCCCTATACTTTTTGCGTGAAGCGTGAAAGGCTTATTTTACTTAGCCGTGAAACGTGATCGGGCCCCCTATACGTTTTGCGTGAAGGGTTTATTTTACTTAGCCGTGAAACGTGATCGATGATTTTCTTAATCTGTGACTCGTGAAAAGGCAAAATATTTTTATGTGAAAGCATATTGTGAAGAGGTATAGGGGGCCCTCAATACTACAGAATACTACTTTCACTGAAACAGAAAACGACCCACCCCCCCCCCAGCCCGGAAACAATGGCGGGAAATGCCGCCATTTTGAAAAGTTTAAACACTTCGGCAAAATATTTTTCAAACCCTTCGAATTAACGTCAAAACCTGAGGTCAAAAACTGGACAGAAAGTTGCATAAACATGGCATTTACAATGCAAAATAACTCGTACCCGTTTAGCATAAATTGAAAATTTATCAGCCCGAAAGCAAGCAAATATTTCTTCCCCAATTTTAATGCCTCGTTCTCGCGTTTCAGATGGCGTTTTAAATGCGTCGATAAATGCATTTATTTCAATTGTTGTTGGCTAAGAATAAAATAAAAACAACATGTTTTAGTCAAATATATCCGTGTTTTTATATTAGAAGTTATTTACAATGAAAACAAGCTTAAAACTGTGCCAAAAAAGTTTGTGTACTTACGACAAATCCAACAGACGAAGCCCGCAAAGAGGCGTCATTTCGACGGATAAGAGCACAATTCTCGACATGTCCCGTCGCTATAAGTGAGTCGTGCAGCAAGTTCTGTAGTTGGTTCATAGCCATTTCTACATTTTATAAATTTTTATGCCTTTTTTGTGTTTATTTTCACATGCAAATTTTCCAAGTTTATAAAATTCCATGGTAACACTATTAACACGGCACGTGTCCTTCCACGGACGGGGGGAGGGGGATTTTCTAAGCTAAAGCTGCGAGTAAAGCCTGCTCGCAGGCTATCTTCTTGAACTTCTTGTGGTTGCGCAGTCAAAAGTAACCTGAAATTCAGGCCCTAATTAGTGGATCTCTTTGCAGAGTATAGGAGAAAACCTAAACTAAACTAACTTTATTTCAATGGGATAGATCTATCAGTTCTAAACTGTTCTTCCTAGAGGTTCAGTAAGGGTCACATCTTATTGATCCAATAGACCTTTCCCCTTATAACCAAAATTTTGATCTAGGCAAGTCTAGACAAATATTTCATCACAGCTTGAAAGAGCATCACAAAATTAATAATATTCCAAAGTTTCGTTGCGAAATGTTATAAAATGAGGAAAATAGAGCCTTGCAAAATTGGCAATTTTCAGTCATTTTGCATTACAAACGGAAATTGCAGCCCCAACACCCGAATCGTATGTCAATTTCCCGTTTGTAATGCAAAATGACTGAAAAACGGCAAACTTCGCAAGGCTATATTATCCGCATTTTACAAGATTTTGCAACAAAACTTTGGAATATTACTAATTTTGTGATGCTCTTTCAAGCTGTGATGAAATTTTTGTCTAGATCGAAATTTTAGTTATAAGGGGAAAGGTCCATACTACAAGAGGAAACCTAATGTTTCTACCTGATAAATCTATCGGGTAGATCTATCTAAAAGGAGGAGTTCGCCTCGTCCAAGGTCCTTAGCCTCTTAAAAGTTCAAAGTTAAACAATGTCTTTTTTACAAATATATCGTCTTTGTGTTGTACAGTTGTCAGTTCCCCACTCTTTACGGTGAATCATCAAAGCACAGTTGACGTTCCAGCGTGGTTCGCCTTTTTTCCAATTATGATATTTCATACGACTGTCATCCACCCAAAAGAAATCTCCGTTAGCTCCGTGATAATATGCACCTGTATGAGAGAGAAATAATACCTCCTGAAACCAATATTGTTGTTGTTGAAAGATTGACAAAATGAAATGGTGTCGGGAGGCACTTTGTACAGCGTCAATGAATGACTTAAATTGGCATGCAGAATAGTGGGATTTCAAATCACTGGGTCATGACTGGATGGAATTATTGTTATGTAAGGGTGCATTAGTGGGTTTTACAAGGGGCAGATGGTATTCAATCAGCACTTATCTGAGTCAGAAAATAATGTTCGTTCTTTTCATTCTGTAACGCTTGGTGAAACCCATCAATAGGAAATCATATCAGTATTTATGTCAGCCTTGTTCTTCCTTTTAAGTTTTAACAAAATCAGAGGAGGTATATGAACGACACCTACCTAGCCAGTAATAATAAAGATATACATTCTTTGACTTAAGGTAGCTCCGGATACTTGCTTCTTCTGGCTTCGTTTTTAAAGTTAATAAATCAGATGCACTTTCTAGACATTTTTGTCTTGCTTCAAACCATGAAACTAGCTTATCATGAACTTTATAGCAAGCCTTGTGAAGTTTGAACCACCCTGATGGACAACTGGCTAGAAAGAAAACAATCCTTGAATTGACCAGTGTTACTATATTTATTACTGGATAGCTCTATCAATTTTAAACTGTTCTCCTTAGAGATCCAGTAAGGGCCACCTCTTATTGATTCAGTATTAACTATAGGAAGAAACTTACACTAAAGTAACTTTATTTCTACTGGATTGCTCTACCAGTTCTAAAAAGTTCTTCCTAGAGGTCCAGCAAGGGTCATCTCTTATTGATCCAGTGATACTACTGCAGGAGGAAACTTAAACTAAACTAACTTTATTTCTATACTGGATATCTCTACCAGTTCTAAAAAGTTCTCCCTAGAGGTCCAGTAAGGATCATCTCTTATTGATCCAGTATTACTATAGGAGGAAACTTAAACTAAACTTACTTTATTTATACTTGATAGCTCTACCAGTTCTAATTTGTTCTCCCTAGAGGTCCAGTAAGGATTATCTCTTATTAATCCAGCATTACTACAGGAGGAAACTCAATTAAACTAAACTAACTTTATTTATACTGCATAGCTCTATCAGTTCTGAATTGTTCTCCATAGAGGTCCAGTAAGGATCATCTCTTATTGATCCAATATTACTACAGGAGGAAACTTAAACTAAACTAACTTTATTTATACTGGATAGCTCTACCAGTTCTGAATTGTTCTCACAGGAGGAAACCAGGAATAAGTGAAGAAAACCTACGATCTTTGGTAGAGTCAAACTAGAAGCACTCTTCTCACATACGACTCAGGTAATATTGAATCAGACAATTGAATGCAGAACCACAGTATCGACACTAATTACTTCAACACAACTTACTACACTTCCGTCCATAACACGCGAGTTTATCTTGTGGTTTTGTAGAGTTTGAACAATATTTCGGATCCACGTTCTTGAGATCTGACTTGGCACAGAATATTTCACGACGTTTCTTTCCGAAGCCACAATCTGATGAACATTCTGTCCAATCCTTTGTACGCCACATATAAGGAAAATCTGAATATAGAGTTGAAAAATCTAGTCAAGATAAGGAGTAAGGGGTACTTACTACACGTAAAGATAAGAACTAACTTCAAGTGAACAAAACTGAACCAGAGATTGCAAAAGATTCGTATCTTGCATTAATAGGTTTCAGATAGATAGATAGATAGAAAAAAATTTTATTTAAGCAGGATAACCCTGTCAGCACGAACTACATGCTGGTATCAATAGGGGTCCTGCTAAGTTAAAAAAAAACACATTTAAATACATATATACAATTTTTGCATGCAAAAAAGTACAAAAGTTTAAAAAGAGACACCAATACTAAACTACCCCCAACGCTTATATATTCCCCTTCTAAATGTTTACTTTATAAAATAATTATATACTATGCAACCATTATAGTAGAAATATTTTTTCGCAGTTTCAGTCTTCATCTTAGTAAGGTGGAGCTGGTTACTTTGTCTGGTCGATCTTTCATGAATATCACGATTAAAAGTAAAATAGTTAGTTAAAAGCAAGCGCGACGATGCAGAACATGGAGGAGAACTCACTGTTATAAAGACAGTTCTCGAAATGACTGTTCACACTAACTGGGTTTACCAAAGCCCCGATCAAATGGCAGTCACGAATTATTACAGGGGACATTTTGAGCCGTTGGATTAACAAAATAAAGGTTTGATGAATGTTTCAACTATGTTTTAACTTAAATAAAATACACGACTGTTTTGGGGAAAAAAACAGCTAAGGGACCGGTCATAAAGTAGCTGCTAGGGTGGGCTGGAGTGATTTGGGATGGGCCATGGAAAATCTTTGGGCAGTTTCGATGGGCCGCCAATTTTTTTTGTATGTCCACGGTTGGGCCACCAAACAAAAAAACATGCATGTCTACTTCAAAAAAATAAAGATACTAATAGTGAAAGTAAACAAAACTATCCAAATTATCAAATGCAAATGAGATGCTATTGTCTATTGAAGCCAGTACTTTGTTTATACAACAACAAAAAGTGGTCGAATCACAGCAAATACAACAAACTGGAGAGCAGCTCAGTACCAATGTGTTTGTCAAGCTTGGTGGAATTATGTATGTCAATACAGTGCCGACAAGTTTTTTTTATTATAAAAGTGTATTTTCCCAATTTAGATTGGATGGGTCGTGAAAAATTTTTTTTGTAAGATTAGATGGGCTTTGAAATTTTTATCTACATCCTAAGATGGGTCACCGAACTTGTTGGCAAAATTTGTGATTTACCTCCAGCCCACCCTAGCAGTTACTTATGACCAGTCCCTTACCAAGGTTGCGTGACTGCCACCAACTCTCATGCACTCTCATCAATATCCTCGTTTGATCCACGTTCTGGTGAAACACACCAATAGTAAGTTAGTAAAGTTACAATATCAAGCAATGATATACCTGCACATCCATATAATATATTCACTTTCGCTGCGTCAGCTAACGTCACATGATCACGTTGTCCTATCTTATTCCTGTATTTCTTATTCAGAACCTCTACTGTAGTCAGATATCCAGTTTGATCTTCAGTTAGCTTGGCAAAGTAATCCTTCCCATAATGCATTATGCTCATGTAATCGTACTTGACTGATAAAGTGTTAGCAGTAAAATGACGATATTTTCTAAATTGATCCTTTTTACCTGAAATGTTTTTGAACAAATAGGAAGTATAAAACACATTTGTATGAGCCATCTATTCAAACGTGAGGGGAGCCTGTGAAAGGCAGTGGTAAGTCAAATCTAAACCGCTCTGTTAATCGATCATTGTTGTCTTTTGCGCGCCGTATTCCAATCAGTCTTTATTCATAGTAGAGATATATTAGATTCAGTAAACACGAAGTTCTAGGAAGATGTTCTGTGACTGGTTGATTATGACAATGAGAAAAGACGTAATTGGCTTACATAAACAAAAGGAATATTGTTTTTGCTTCGTTCTTTAGAAAATCCATTCTATAGCTTATTCTTTTGTCATTGTCATAATCAACCAATCACAGAACATCTTCCTAGAGCTTCGTGCCGACCCATTAGATCGGGCAGTCACTGCTCACTAACCTGGCAGGATATTATCCCAATTAATCTTCACATATGAATCACGATCCTCGCGAGATTGTTCATGCCACAGTCCTAATGCGTGACCCCACTCGTGGATAAGACTTCCTGCGGGACATAAATCCCCTACTCTGATCGGCTGATAGCGACCAATCCGACCAATGGCTGATGCACACCTAGTTTGAAAAAAAGTTAAATCATAATAAAACGATGATTACGAATCACAGAGCATTCGCTCGAAAATTCCAAGTTTACTCTATCTCCGTTTCAGATAGATAAACTGGCAATAGTCCACCCATAACCAAGGGCGCTTACCTAATATTTAAATAACATCTGCGCTGAGGATACGGTGGTTAGTAATGTTTGATAAAGTTAGTTTAGTGACATACCGTCTACTTTTTGGATTTCGTTCACGAAAGACTTGTACCCAGTCTCTATGATTCCCACGAGGAACAAACTTGATACAGGTCTTCTGTTGCCACTGTTTGATTCCCGCCAAGAATCGCTGAGCTACTTTCGTTTTCGCTAAAGAACGAGAAGATATTTTTAAATGTAATATTATGGAAGTGATAAACTTTTCAAACGTGGAGGTCCGTTCAGGTAGTTCTGACACAAACCAGGGCAACTTTTTGTAGAAAACTACTTACACTGTACCACCACGTTTGAGATATATTTTCATCTTCAGATACAAACCACGAGAACCCATTGCGGAATACTACTTACACATTTGAGATATCTTTTTCAGGTAGTTCAGACACAAACCACGGCAGTTTAAAAACACAGAGATCCCTACCTAACTCTGGAGGTACATAATAAGGCACAGTGTTCTCAGGCCAGATCACCATGGCAGCGGAGGTCTGTAGATCTACGCCATCATGATATAAAGCACTATGTGGGTTGTCAATCAAGGCTTTCTGAGCTTTCGTTAGAATGATGTCATCTTCGAAATCTTCACTGTCTGAAAATGACTCTCCTATAGAAAAGGAAACATTGGCGGTCAACCTGCAGTTATCAGAATGAGAAAGACAGAAAGCCGGTAATGCTAGTTGTTTTCATTGTATGTAATAATAGTCCTATATTTTGAGGCAGATATATAGACTTGAGAGATATAATGCTGGAACTGTGTGAAATGTCATGTCAATAGAAATCTAGCACACATTCCCCCAAAACCGTGTTCAGTTTTTACTTAAAATGTGACCAGTGAAGTAACGATGGATTTATCCTACGGAGCTGTGATGATAACCCAGCCATGTCTCAGTGTATGTATTGTGAAAATTGAAAATTGTAAATTCGTTTTGTTTGTACGTATTTTAAATAAAATTCAAAAACTCATTAATAATTCATGAAGCAATTATCCAATCTTGAGTAAGAAATTAGTCACGTGCATACGTCTTTATACCAGCTAAAGAACACTTTAACAAAAGACCATTGTTATGCAAACTATATAAAGATTTTTATATAGAGATTTTTATATAAAGGTTTTTATATAAAGATTTTTATATAAAGATTTGACTTATTATGCATACGTTTTTGAAGTCATTTAAAAAACTCGCGGGTCGTGTTTTATTAGGTCTAAAGCCACTCGCGCTGCGCGCTCGTGGCTTTAAACCTAATAAAACACTCCTGCTCGTTTTTTAAATAGTACATAAATAGTTTGATTTTCTTGCTTCTATAAGACTTGCATGTTAGACTAATTTTTTATCTAGGCAAGAAAAAGTAAATTCCCATAAAGAACTTATTAAAATTAGTAAAATTGCAAAATTTGGTTACGAAATGTTATAAAATACGGAAAATATAGCCTTGCGAAGTTTGCATATTTTGTATATGTTTGAATTACGTGCGGAAATTGTTGCCATTTTTGAGCCGAAAATTAAATATATGGTAACAATTTCCGCACGTAATACAAACATATATAAAATTTGCAAACTTCGCCAGACTATATTTTCCAAGCTTTACAACATTTCGCAACCAAATTTTGGAATTTTAATAATTTCATTATATTCTTTTTAGCTGTGTCAGTGATGTTTGATTCCCTTCTCTTAAAATTTAGTCTAACATACAAGTTGTCCTTTGTTGCCTGCAAAGCTTACTGAAATTTTTTCCAACACAAACCTGTAAGTTTATAAACATTCATTGCACCAACGCCCCCTTCACCATTACTGCATTTTTTTGAATGACCAAATCTTTTATAAACATGATCTTTATGCTTTGTGGCAAGACATTCTCCTTTATTGATCAAAGCAAAGACTGAGTATCCTTTGTTCTTCGTCACTGCTGCACATTTCTTGATTGTGTTTAACCTAACAATGAAAAAATTTTAACAATGTTAAGGATCATTATTGCTGGCACAATCGGTTAGCCCTGTGACCAGAATTGGAATCGGTAAGAAAAAATGAGTACTTTCAGTTTCTTTCAATCAAACACTGCAGGTTTTTTCCAGGTGCTCCAGGGCAAGAAGGGATGATCGGAACTGGACCTCTATAAGGAGAACAGCTTAGAACTGATAGCGGACAAATAAGAAATGACTCTATATAGGATTTCTAGGGATAACAGTTTAGGAGTGATAGGACTATTCAGAATAAATAAAGTGAGTGATACCTCTGCCAGTACAGTCCGTCCAATTCATCATGAAAATTTTCCAAATCTTCAAAATGATTCAAGTTTGTTCCAGCTTTCCAACAACCCAGAGATACGTAATCATGATCAAAATCTGTGGAACAAAAGTAGTAGACTTTGACAATGTAGCAATATATAGCCTTCATACAGACTTTGCATTCATCTTACTATAGGAAACAACTCGCTACGCAGGCTAGGAGACCACTAGAAGTCTCTCCATAGACTAAATTGGTCTGCTTCAAAAGGCATATTGTTTGAAAATTCTGTTGGTAGACTGTTGCAAGTTGAACTGTAGCCAAAGCAGGAAACCCAAAAAAAACTGTAGATGGGTAGAGATTCAACTACCTGAAAAATACAAGTAAACCTTCGACGTTTTGAGCGAAGGCAGTTCGTCGGGAGGTTAGTAGGAACCAGGAAACAGTGTTTCCCAGCCATGTTCCCTGAGGGTAGGCAAGCAAGAATCACTGTTTCCGCAACAATAACTTGGGAATCATTTTTGCTTCCTGCATGCAAACATAGTGCCCAGGGCTGCACGGGAACTCGCGATGAGCGGGTTTTATTTACAAACGGTCACACTTGGATGATTTGACTATAATAATTTAACAGGTATACAAGTCGATAGCTCACGAACGTAGTCTGTATATAATAAAGAAGACATTCTTAGTTCTAGTCTAAAATAGAATAAAGAAGACAGTACACTTATGGCAACACAATGTAATAAGGGTTAAACAACAAACATACCTATTTTAGAAGAGAGAGCATGAAATTTTCCAGTTTTCTTCCATTTTGATTCCGTGGATAACACCCGTGTCATAAAGATACAAGCCAAAAGAACTCGGGCAAAATTGAAACATTTGACAGCACTCATCAGTGTAGTTTACTTTTCACAATGATCAGATTTAATAATGATCAATATAGTACATTAGTCTAACTTTTCTTCTCGTTGGTAATTTATATCAAATAATCATATATATGTTTATCGTTATAAGTCGAATTCAATGACGTCAAGTTTGGTTGATGCAAGATCCGAAAAAAGCATTACATATGTGTCAATCTGCACGCGTCTGTCGGTATATGATGCAACAACTGGGAAAATAGAACATCGACGTTGCGAAGGCTCTTCATCTGTAAATCACACCAACACATACTCTTTGCTTCCTGCGCAGACATCCAACATTCAAGATTTTTCATTTTCGTACATGTATCTCAATCGGTCGTTTGCAATCGACGCCATCTTGGTTGATTTTTGTGGCAACTAAAAATCTATATTCTTCATTCTTTGTCGTATTGTGCCAGAAATCGTAAACTATCCATAATACAGTAAGATGTTTCAAAACAAACCAAAAATATTAAAGTAACTCAACTATTTCGATGTAAACGGCTGCACAAAACTTTAAAATCAACCAAGATGGCGCCTAATGACACGTAGTCATGTCATAGTGTGCAAGCAAAGAATATAGGTAGCTCATGAATGGATCAAGGTCTACATGCTGACGAAGGCCAAATATTTATTGAACTCAATTGAAGTTCAGGAAAACAAGAAGTATTCTTGTAGAAATATTGTTTCCTGGGGGGCGGGGGGCTGTTCATGCATATGAGCAGAGCCATGCAGCCGGGATGAATCGTATCATGAAATTAGTTTTTCTGACCATAAAAGATCGTTTGAATTAACTTTATATAGTAACTGGAATCAAACTAAGCTAATTCAACTTTGAAATGTCATTTTGGATGTTTATGAAAGCCGTAATAAGAACATTGTTAAACGAATCATCCCTGGCCAGCCCGGCTCCATATGAACAGCTCCATATATAGCCGTGCCTCCTCAGTGAACTGAAGGTCGTCAAAGCGGGAAACATTCTTTTCCTAAATATTCTTTTGGAAATAAGTCAAACTGCTTGGGAAGCAAAATATATTTCTATAAAATTGTCGGGAAACATCTTTATCCCACATCTTTATCCCGTGTTTGCTGATTTGCCCAAGGCTTAAGTCAGAAACTATCACAAACACACAAGGATTACGTCTCCTACTGCTACTCCAAATGAAAGCATGATGCTCTGTCAGTAGAGCAATCAAGGATGCTTTCCATTTAATGGCTAGACCACTTACAACATAATTTCTGTCTCTATATTTAATACTGGAAAGATCTGGCCGAAATGGTCCTCCTTCTAATCTGATCCAAATTTTCTGGTCTGATCCGACTGATCGGTCCAAAGCCCAAATGTTTTGTGTTCCATGCATTGATTCAACAACTTGACCGTTCTGGCTGAGTTAATGGAGCGTCCTAATCTTATTGCCAAGAAGAAAACATATAAAAAATTTAAAATACGGCAGATCATTGAGGCTTACAGCCCTTTTAAGTTAATCCACTTTGGAGAAAATATTCAAGAAATTTAAATATTTTTGTTTCCAAAATAGAAGTGTTGTTTTCCGCGTCATCTCTTGAGATGAACATTAAACAATTTAAAAGGAGTATGGTATTCCTGTTTATTATACATCATGCTGAGCTCAAATATTTCATGACCACATTTCACGATAGTTAATGCATCGTTGCTTTGTTTACACAGCACAGTAAATATTTTAATGAATGCTTTGCTTCTGACCGTATTTGCATCTGGTCGGCTCATCAAAACTGAACTGAAGATTGGCTTCGCGTGACCTTGAAACGGCTTGAAGGAAAGTTTACACCAGAGGGCAGGGAGGAAGCAGAGAGGGCAGGGAGGTTAACTATCATTTTCTCCATATTTACACAGAAGAAACTAGCTCCTTCATTATCACAGCTGCCTGAAGTGTAACAGTGTTGAACTCAAGGTATACACAATACAGTTGTAATTATTTAATCATTAACGGTGATATAGTGGATATTGAATGTGAGAGATTCTTACCTGATGTTGTTGCGTACGCTATACCTAACGGCAGATATGAAAATTGATTCGCGGTGGCTGGAGGAAGGGTTTTAAGTCAGAAAGCTGGAGATTGATAGCTTCTAGTGTCTTATCCCTCTCAATCCATCTTATCGTAGTCAGGGGACTTATTATTAATTATCATATGTCTAATAAACGCCAAACTACTTGTTATATGTACTTGTGAGTGGCATGGCAAGATGCTGAAGCTATCAGTTCCTGCAGAGTACAGTGTGTTTTGACATTCTCATGAAACACAAAACAATAGACAACTCCGAAAATTGTAAACATTTTCGTTCTCTACGAAGAATGATTCTTCTGAAGATGACTTAAATTAATAGTCGAAACGTAAAGAATGAAATGCTTACAATTTTCGACGGAGTGTCTATTGTTTTGTGTTTTCTTAAAATACTATAATCTATAACCGCAGTCAACTACAACTTATTGCATTGATGCAGGGTTTTTATATAGTTGATGGGAAAAATCTACAATCAGATCTAATCATCTATCGAATGAGATATTGTATGTATAAATCTTTACCGATTGCACAGATCTATATCAACACTCTCTTACACTGACTTGATATGGTATCGACCATCACAATTATATGAAAACTAGGTTTAATTAATTAAACAAAGTTCAAAATTTAAAAAATTTTCATTTAGTACTTAGATCGGAACCTACGGTATTTTCGCTATTATTTCAAGACAGTTGGATGTTGATGAATACTATAGGATAAATGGATGTTCAAACAAAAGCCGTCTAGCATTGATTTAGGTTGATATTTGAAAACATAGGAATGCAGTTTTTGAAGTCATTATATTTTTCTTGCACAACACCATGACCAATTTTGTGAGTGTTATATTTCAACATTGTCACATGGTATCCAGGTTTCTAGTTGCATGCGCCTCATCATTCAAGGCCAAGGGAAACCGCGTCGAAGCTTTCAACACAACAGATATCATTGGCATTGAAAGAAAAAAAGGTAATATAGGTAAGTTCACAACCTTGATATAAGACTGAGCTTTGTATGATAAGGTTGGATGCGATTGGTCGTGATTGGTCGGCATTATAGAGTAGAGATTTTAAGATCTACACAGCGCTGAGACTCGCCGGCAACTTAACGACGCGACTTCAAAACAAAGAAACTCGTCATCCAAGACAAAAACAATGAATACCTCGTCAACAGGGTTGGCATTCTGAACACGATATACATAGACTCGAGCTTGTAGCAAAGACTGCCTTTTTTTTAGCCGAACTTGGCTGTTTGTAAGGTTACTTGAAAAAGCTTCAAACATTTATCACAGCAATCAAATATATAAATAACGCTTAATTCTTGAGCTGAATTCAGACCGTATCGTCGAGTTTGCCGCATTATAGATCTTAGTGTGGTATATCTTTGCAAGACTGATTTACATAAAGCGCACAGAAGACACTTCAAGACAGGATATAGATCTGACAAATTTACAAATGATTGTGAATGACCTTCGGTGTGAAAACACATTGTCGTTTAATTATTTGGCTAAACTTTCCAAGCAATATTTTATTTGCGCAATATATACACTGCATGATAGTAAAATAGCTATATGTACTGATTATCGACGTTAATCGTATTTGCGCTGGTCAACAACAGTACGTTTTATTTAGCATAAACTGCATACTATTGCGCCATTTCCTAATAGCATCTACTAATAGTCTAAACAGATATCATATTATGACATGGTATATTGCCTAATTTGCGCAGGAAACACGAAGCAGTCGAACTTATTACTTGGTATTCTTTGTGACTGAAGTTATGGACATGGTGATCTGATAAAAATTAAGCACAAGACACGTGCGTTTGTTTAGTTTAGAGTTTAAACCATGTGCTCCAAGAGGTTTTTATTTGGAAGTTATAAAGGGCGCCCAAAAATGTTGCGCATATGTCGTGACACGTGAACCGTACAAATTGCGCCTTTCCAAAATGCAACCAATGTAACTTACTATTTAATAAAGTTGCTTGCAATTTAAATTAATCCTTTTCCTCCTTAGGTATTCAGTATTAACTTATCAGTTTGTGGTTTGTGGTATCATATTACCTCATTGTACAAGCCGGTCAAGGAGCAAATACACAATATACTGAAAAGATGGCCTCTACAAGTCAAGCAGATCTTACTGAGAATGGTGGTGAAATCACTAAAGATTCAAAAGGAGTTGATAATCCCGCATTCAACAATAAAAGGTGCCTTGCTTAAATGTCTTGACTATAGTTTCTTTATAGCTACTAATCTATAAACAATGGGTACTAAATGACACGCGCTTTGCCGCTTTGTAAAAATGTTTTAAAAAGCTGTAAAACTATGGACATGGAATCCCAACAATAAACTCAATAAATATGGATAAACTCAATAAATATTGGGCTAGTATTCCAAAGGTCGTAGCACAGAATTCGATTCCCACCGTGGCCAGGCATATTTTTCAAGCCTGCCCGGTGTGGATATACACTCAGAGTATAAACATCACAAGCAAAATACGGAACAATTTAAAATGTAAATATGGTGCACCCTTGGTTTATACTGCCAATTTTAGAAAACTTGAGAAATCACAAGTACGTGCTAGCCTACTTCATGAAATAGTGCGTTAATATTACCACTTACGGTAAGTCTGGGGAACATGTCAGTTGACATGCGTTGTGGGGTTGTGATGTTTCCATGGCTAACAAGAGTGCATCAAGGGCTCTCCGGTAAATTTCAAGAGTTATTTTAACATTGAACACGTTTAGGTTTACTGGTTTAGGGTGGACATGAAAATAACTATAACCTCTTTTACCATCTCTGTTCATTAGGCAAGTTTAGCAGGATTAAGGATAGTTTTCTATGTCTGCCATCGCTATTAAACTTTGTCCCCTCCTAAGTGAATCCTTAGTGCAAACGGGAACTGAACTCTAAAGTTACTTCCTAATATGCAAATGTTTAGCATAGAACACGTATGATATTGGTTTTTTGTCGTTTCCTGATTAGCTATTTTCGTAATAATTCTAGGAACAGTAAACATTATTTTTATTTACAAATACTGAAATACATACAACGTTTTCCCACGTTCCTGTGCTAAATACTTGCCCACTCCGTTGTCACACCCACGGCCCGCCCCCTTACACGTTTTGCCACGTCGAAGAAATTTTGAAAATTGGGCGCCAAACTTAAGCTGTTTGATTGGCTATATTATAATCTGATTCTTTTGATTGGTCAATGACCATATCTCATTACTTAAATTGGTGTTTTTCGCGCGTTTATACCAATTCGTGAATGGCTGCGATACTGTAAACATTGCCCACACCAACGAGAGCTAAACAAATCCATATCTCCCGTGTTTCATCAGATTCCTATTTCAGAAAGGTAACAACGAGTGTATACCAGTAGGGCACTATAGAAATTTGTATATTGCGAAACTCTGACGGGGGAGTACAATATTTCACCCAAGACGCTGTTTATTTACATGTAGTATGTTTGCTACGTAGTACTCTAGATTTGGTATCTACGTTCGAATTGTTAATGTTGTTCTTGATTGTTACATAATTTTCAAGAAGTTTTCTATGTTTCTTTTGAAGAATGGCTGATTTAGACACAAGTGGCGACAGTTTACTCCATTTGGAAGCAAATTCGCCAAACTCAACGACAATTGAGGTAAACCATTAAAGTAGAAAACACGATTGGAACATCTTTCTAGTTGAATAATATTGTATCAGCCGTCGCTCTATATACAGTAGTATCAAGAACAGATTACTGTATTCCCATGGGCGAAGGAATAAGCAATGGGTTTATAACTGTATAGATTCATATTTACCGCGTGAATAACTCTCTTATTGTTGTAAAATCGCGCCAATTGTGGTCAATAGTATATTTGTACACGAGGCTAAAGTCCATATTTCTCTAGCGACTTTAGCATTACTTCGTAAACTATAAAGTGTACAGTCTTAGTAACAGTAATAAGATTTGTACTTCAATTTGTTCTCAAATTTAGGAATTCTAAACACGAAAGAAAATTGAAACTCTTGAGTTTGATGAAGGAATATATAAATTGTAAATTATTCAAATAGTTTGCGTGACTCAGTTGTTTTGATCATGAAAAGTTGTAAATTAAACTCTCTTAAACTTTTATACAAGCATTTGACATAAATAGTGTATTTCAAATACAAGAATACGGAATTTAAGAAAAGGGAAAAAATGTTAGAATTAGCAATGCTTGTTCAAGTAATAAAATAGTTTGTCATCCGTGAGTGGTTGTGACAGACGCACACTATATACAATTGCGACGCGTTATAGATTACGCAAGGACATTTTGCCAAAATACCATTTTGGGTCCTGTACTTTCTGAACAAAAGTTCAAGTAATATTTTATAGTGTTGTATTAAAGCGTTGATTTTTTACATGTAGAAGGGCGTGAAGATTTTGAAGTGTAAATGTATTCATCGATAAAATCTTGGCCACGTGTACATACATTGTGTGTGTGGGCTTGATTGTGTGTGTGGGCTTGAGTGCATGTCACATGTTACAAATCACAGCCACATGGTCAATTAAATTGTGTTTACCAGTAACCCCCCCCCCTTGAGAAGCAGAATTATCTATTTAGTAGTGGCGTAAACCTAACAGTGTACTAGCCTGCGTAGGGGCTCTCAGAGAAAGGATAGCCTGCACGAAACCCCATGTTTTCCGTATTTACCCGTTCTCTCAGAGGACGAGAAATCTGATTGGTTCAAAGTTTTTTAAAATAATAATAATAATGCTAAAATTATGAACAAACACAGCGGATGCATAATTATTGAGAAGTGTTTCTTTGAGTTTTGCATTCAAAAGAGCTTAAAGGCCACGATTTATAGTTGAACAATAATTAACAAATATAAAACATTTTCCGTGTTGATATACAGTTATATCAACACGAGTGGGAATTGGGAAAACTCGAAATTGTGTGGAAACACGACGCCCGAAGGGCAGAGTGTTTTCACACAATTTCGAGTTTTCCCAATTTCCACGAGTGTTGATATAACTGTATATCAATATGGAAAAAATATTTTATATTTTTTTTATAATATAGCTTGACATTGATTTATATCAACACGGCTCTTAGCCAATCAGCGTTCAGAATTTACAAATGCTATATTATAAAGGTATTTCCGAACTTTGTTCATGAAGCTCTAGAGATATTGGCTGTGGTGTCTTCGTTAGATTGCTATCTGTTAGCAGCATCTCTTTCACGAGCGTGTTTGTTTTCATTGACGACAAATAGATTTTCTCTTCATGATTTTGTAGCTAATAATTTTGTGCCAGGAGAGAATTGCTGTAAATGCTTATGTCTTATGAACAATGGCGTCAGATAGGCTGGGGCGGTTCTTGGAAAAAACTGACAACCATCAGGAAAAACCTGAAAAACTGGTTTCTAATCTATAAATAACACACAGACATAAAACAGTGTAGCACATGTATTTATTATGTGAAGAATTTTGGTTTTAGATGCTTAATATCAAAAGCTTACAGAGGTATAAAAATACAAGTAAGAAGACAATGTTAAAAGAATGTATTTACAGGTTTTCAGCTAGGATTAGCTGAAACATCATTTTTATCTTGTTTTTTTCCCACGGCAGGTACAAAATGCAGAGGTACAAAATGCAGGTTGCAGGTTGGAATTTTGCAGGTTGGGAATTTTGCAGGTTGGAATTTTGCAGGTTGGGGATTTTGCAGGTTGGAATTTTGCAGGTTGCCGAATTTTGCAGGTTGTAATTTTGCAGGTTGCCAGGAACTTTGCAGGTTGATAATGCAAACTTAAAATTACACCACTTTTTTAGTATAATTTTTAGGAATAACTTAGTTATGCATTTATTGCAGTCTGACTCCTTGTCGGCACTTTTGATATCAGCCTACCCTGCTAGTATAACTTAGTTGTGCATTTATTGCAGTCTGACTCCTTGTCGGCACCCTTGATATCAGCCTACCCTGCTGCCATGTTCCTAGCCTCTGCTCTAAGGCTAGTGGCTATCACCCCCGTAAAAACATTCAAAATGACCAGATTGGCTTGGACCTACATGGAGACGAATGTTTTGATTGTTGCGAGATGCCTACATGACGTGGCGGCGTTTATACTAGAATGTTGTTAAACGTTAACTAACTCTCGAGTAATGATACGGTAATGGGGGCTTGAGTGGACTTCTCATAAGTGGGTGCAGAGGAGAGACACCTCATTCAGGCATTTTCTGAACTACCACCACGTCATATAGGCTCCTCGCAACAATCGAAACATCCGTCCCCCTGAAGGTCCAAGCCAATCTGGTCATTTTGAATGTTTTCACAAGGGTGATGGCCACTCCTTAGAGCAAAAGCTAGGAACATTGTAGCAGGATAGGCTGATATCAAAAGTGCCGACAAGGAGTCAGACTGCAATAAGTACACAATTAAATTATACTAGAATACTTTATAGTGGTGTAATTTTAAGTTTGCATCAAGAATACTTTTAGTGGTGTAATTTTAAGTTTGCATCATCAACCTGCAAAATTCCTGGCAACCTGCAAAATTCCAACCTGCAAAATCCCCAACCTGCAAAATTCCAACCTGCAAAATTCCAACCTGCAAAATTCCAACCTGCAAAATTCCAACCTGCAACCTGCAACCTGCGTTTTGTACAATTCCAACCTGCAACTTGCAACCTGCGTTTTGTACCTGCCGTTTTTTCCCAGTTCTTTGTCTTTTCCTGTAGTTTTTTGGTATTGCCAACCTGCAAAATTCCAACCTGCAACCTGCAACCTGCGTTTTGTACCTGCCGTTTTTTCCCAGTTCTTTGTCTTTTCCTGTAGTTTTTTGGTACTTGGAAGTCATGTAGGAAGTTAACCCCTTCTACCCCTTCTGGATGTCCTAATACACTTAATTTTATCAGAAATAATTTTTTTCCTCCTGGATGGCAAAATGTTTGTCGGGGGAGGGGTGTGTATGTGGATCTTCCTGGAACAAACCAATCGGGCAACTGCTGAAAGGCCCGATTCCACGATGGTGAAATGCTTCACAAGGAATTGTGTCTGCGAAATACGGATGGTTGCACATGAGCGATTCTATTGAATTTTTCCCGATTTTCCCACCTTAGTGGTGGTAGAACCGGCTTCTACTCACTGGTGAAGCGAAATTTTTTTCTTGCAAAGCCTAATTTATCTTTACTGCACATGCACCTAATTCATTTCATGCGAAATTTTTCACATTTCGCATTGGAATGAGGCCTTAACACTGTTCCACCAGTACCTCATACTCAATAATTTGTATGAAAACTGTCTGGGATTGGCATCTTTACAAGGATTGACCTCAATAATATATTACAATATGTTTTATTCAAACCATCAGATTGAACTAAAAGAGCCTAAAGCGAATGCTGTGGAATCACCAGTAGCAAAACGTAACCTAGTGTATCAGTATGAGGACACAAAACCATTGCCACAATTTCTATCTCAAGTTTGGCACAAACACTGGATCATGATTGTTGTTGCTGCACTAGACTTTGTAGTCATTCTCTACAGTATTATTGGAATAATGAAAGTTGGTTTTAACGAAGCTGCAGGGCTTTTTGGTATTGGGATTTTTGTCTGGTTTTGTTTAACATGGATGGTCGTGCGTGAGCATTGTGGTGCAGAGATCCATAACTGGCTGATTCAACCTGTAGCTGACTGGGTTGATAATCATTGGAAGTATTTGAAATGGTATGTTAAGCTACAGTGGATTATAAATTGACACCTCAGTATGTTTTACTATGATCATAAGTAGATTTTCCCCATAGTGGGAATGTGGATCTTTTCTGGAATGATCCGCCATCACACATTTAACAGTTGATTAATTTAATTTAAATGCTTTTTATTTATAGGGTGGTGTATGCAGTATTGATAATCGCCATTATAGTTTTCCTTGCTATTGACACAAGAAAGAAACCAATACGATTCCTCTCACTTTTTGGTTTAGTTGCATATATTTTCATCGCTTATATTTTCTCAAAGCACCGCTCCAAGGTAGAGTATAGCTGTTACAATTGTAGGGTATTTGACTGGACGAAACTTGCTTCCAGTAAATCCAATCCCTGATAGCTGAATGGGGTAAAGCAATGGCCTAGATGCCTGATGTGAGCTCAAATACTGGTCAAGACAATGACTTTTACCAAGATAATTTTACTATGTAAGAGTCATTGGTTTTAATAGAGTTCACATCTGGTTTGATGAAGCATTCAATCGTAACATTTTCATTTTTTTCATAGATTGTGTGGCGACCTGTTATCTGGGGTTTAGCTTTACAGCTCATCTTTGGTTTACTGATTCTAAGAACTAGTGTTGGAAATAAAATCTTCGAAGTGATGGGAGACCAAATCAATATTTTCCTTGACTATTCTGATGCCGGTTCCATATTTGTCTTTGGTGATAGTTTTAAAGCTCATTTTTTTGCTTTTAAAGTGAGTTGAGTATTAACAGAGAGCTTAGCAAGTGATGTTTCTGACAACACAAACACCATGTATATGTACTGTACCATCCAACCATTATTTATGGTGTAAGCATTTCTTGCTTGCAAGAATGATAATTGAAAAGGAGTTTCTAGACTGTTCACTATGTCTTGATCTCTGTACTACAGCAAGGCACTGGTGAAAAAATAGTGGATGGTTGTGATTAATTTGGGTACTGGTGATAAAATAGACTTAATAATATATAATTTCTCTGTAGGTCTTGCCTGTCATCATATTCTTCAGTTCAGCTATATCAGTTCTGTACTATCTTCGTATAATGCCAGTGGTTATAACAAAAATAGCATGGCTTATGCATGTCACAATGAAGACATCTGGTAGTGAATCTCTGAATGCCGCTGGGAATATCTTTGTTGGACAAGTATGTAGTTCTATTTTGGTCACAAAATGTCTGGGATTTGTAGGCAGGGTTGATAAGATACTTTGTGATGCCACCTATGGCTTCTATAGCATTGTTAAAGCAGCTGAAACAGTTCTACAGTTTAGAGCATTTTCTTTCATTTATAGACAGAAGCTCCGCTAATGGTTCGACCATTCTTACAAACGATGACAATGTCTGAACTACACGCTGTCATGACGGGTGGCTTTGCAACCATAGCTGGTGGGGTGTTGGCTGCATATATATCATTTGGTGTCAACCCATCTCATATCCTATCCGCTTCCGTCATGTCTGCCCCTGCTGCCCTAGCAATTTCAAAACTCATGTACCCTGAGACAGAGGAATCTGAGACAAAGACATCGGATGATATTGATATTCCTAGAATGTAAGTTGACTTGCCAAATTTCTAAAATAGTTACCACTACTCATAGAATTCTATGTCTAACGCCAGATGATTTTACTTGTCAAGGGGAGAGTGCTGCCGCTCAATGGGTTATTGAGTTATGAAACCCTAATGAATTGTTTTAACTGATTAATACAGGACAGAAGTAAATGTTATCGAAGCAGCAGCCTCGGGAGCGTCAAATGCTATACCACTAGTAGCAAATATTGCTGCAAATTTGATTGCATTTCTGGCATTCCTTGCATTTATTGATGCAATCTTGTCATATGTTGGTTCCATGGTTGACCATCCTGAACTCAGTTTCAAGGTCAGCTACAGTAATGTTATTCTAATTGCAATAGTGTTCATTCTAATTCACATGCTATTTCATTCTCATTAACTTTCCTAATTAGCTTCATTAATCAGTTTCATTCTAACTAATTGTTCTAATTTGAATCATAATTTGCATTTCAATCAAGTCCTAAATCTATTCTTGATGAGTCTGTTCATTCAATTATACAAAATGAATCATTTCAAATTTTAGTTTATATGTTCCTGGATATTACGTCCGTTCGCATTCATCATGGGAGTCGACTGGGAAGATTGTGGTATTGTGGGAGAACTCTTGGGAATTAAAACATTTGCAAATGAATTTATTGCTTACTTGGACCTCAGTGAGTATATCAAGAATGCCAAGGAAGACAATGGTGGTAGGACAATTTCGGTAAGTTCTGTCACACCACAGTTGCCTGTTATCATGACGTCTGCTACCAAGACTGACCAAGATTATATTTTCAGTTAATCATAATATGAATATAACTGTAGCCAATACATATGGGGTTGTACTTCTATAGATCCCAACCCATGAAACCAGAGTACCCGGAGATGACCCAGCCCCCACCAAACCCCCAGATGCAGACCTCATTTTTAAATTGGAGATTAACCCTTTAAGTGGCAATGCGCCCTACTTCAGTATTTTACTCTGTCTAATGCCAGACGATTTTACTTGTCAAGTGGAGAGTACTTCCACTCAATGGGTTAAATATATCTGATCAACCTACACAAACTAGAATAGTTTATTGAATACTAGTTACATTGGACAAAACACAAGAGGTTGTTGTTGAATACTATCTACACTGGACCCCGCCATCAATATTCTAACAGTACATCTAAATTTACTTTTCCTCCGTACAGGAACGCTCTCAAATCATCGCCACCTACGCCCTATGTGGTTTTTCAAATTTCTCATCAATTGGAATTCAAATTGGTGGATTGGGTCCGTTGGCTCCAAACAGAAAATCTGATTTAGCTACCTTGGCAATGCGTGCTTTGCTTGCTGGAACATTGGCCTGCTTTATGACTGCTTGTGTTGCAGGTAAAGTGTTAGCCTGCGAACAGGCTCTCAATTCAGCTTGAGAGCCTGTTCGCAGGCTAGTAAAGTGTCTCCCAGTAGTACGATCATAGGCTGACGTTGCAGGCCTGTATTGTAGCAGACAGGGATGATTCTCTCTAGCAGGGCTTTCAAAACAAGCTGGAGGTTTACCACCAGGTTCTTTCTGAGTTTCTCTGATATATAACAGGACTGCATAAATCTGTAGTGCATCGTTTGTAACTATTAACTAAGGAACCGAAACAAGCCAGAATTGAAATAAAACAGCAATGCAATTTTTTGCTGCAAAAGTTTCGCTGTTTTTCGTTCATTTTTTTTTTCAAGAACTTTATAGTCATTGTTGAATAAGTTCAGCTACATAAGTTCAGCTACATAAGTTATTAAGTTCAGTTATAAGCAAAGTATTAACGTGAACAAAAATGATGAACAACTTGCAACTCCATCACATTTGATTTGTACAATGATTTCTTCATTATGGACAACCGAAATCAACAAAATGATTTTTCAACACAACTACAAGCTTACTTAAAATGAGTCTGAAAGCCTGCTGTAGGTATTGATTTGATAGAGCTATCCAGTATAAATAAACTTAGTTTAGGCTTCTTATCAGACCTCTAGGGAGAACAGTTTAGTACTCATAGAGTTGTCCACAGGAGATAAAGTTAGTTTTGTTAACAAATTGGCAGCTAGGTCTGCTAGAGCAATCAGACTAACGAATTGGTCTTATTTTGTAGGAATCCTCTTGTAAAATAGAAGGCGAGTCATGGTGTGAGAATACTCTGGAACTCTGAATGCATGTCGTTAGAATACAGTTCATATGTAATATATTTTCTTACAATAGGATGCCTTTTAAAACGTTTCATGTTGAGTTCACATTCATACATAATTTTAGTGTAGATAGCGTGTTGTAAATATTCCTAGTAAACTTAATAAATTGATATATACCCTAACAATATTGTATACAGTGATACACTATATTATAATGACCACGTGATTGATTTTTATCCCCTTATTTCTTGACCTCTATTACTGCATATCTCTGTGCACCTGTCTGGCTATACACTTAGTCCAATAACTCTAACCCATATACACTCATTCACAACGTGTTGTTTTTAGTAATTGACTTTTTAGAAGACTGCGAATTGGTAGTCCTGAATTGTTGTCATAAAAGTCCAACAGGATTTCCAGAGGTCTCTAGCCCGTTAACGTTCAACTTGTAAATATTTTTTGTGGGTAAATAGAATCAATACAATAGAGATTCAACTACCTGTAAAATACAAGTAAAACTTCGACCGAAGGCCCTTCGTCGTTAAGTTAGCCGCAATTTCTATACTAACTACCAGACGTAAACGTTCTACTTGTACGTATTGTTCGCGTATAGTTGAATCTCTGTTAATCCGCAGTCACTATCCAGGTGATCTCGGAAAAGGCCTGGCACTAGTTGTAAAGTAGATATCCATTTCTGGTTTAAAATTACTCATTAACCGTATTAGATTTCTATCTCAAATTTGTCTCAGATATTCATTTCCCTGTGCAAGACACAGACACGAAGTTTCAAACAGTTTCACAAAATAATCGGGGCGTCACAAATGATTAAAGGTACGAAACTGGATTTCTATTCTGTTGCTAGTCCCAGTCCTTTTGCTAATCGTCAGATCACCTGGATACCAGGCAGCCGAGAAGCCCTGGGAACGAGGATGCCTGGATACAGTACCTAAGCTGGCACAGACCGTTCGAGTTTAATTGATTTTTTACCCATGCAGTGTAGACGCGATTGTGATCAGGGCGCGATTGTGATTCAGACTATGCGCGTTGTTGTGGTTTTCCGACAAGCCTTCATTACTATATTTGTTATTTTTATTGTTTCTAGCGAAAATTGAATAACTTAAATTTAAAATTAAATACTTAAGAAGCAAACAGGTCGTCAGCTCCTTCAATGTTATATCTGTTCAGTTATGTTTCTCTTATTTCTGTCTGAGGTGGGTTTTTTTTGTACAGATCTTTGCAATTTTACTTCTTTCTCATACATTGGAACTTCACAGTTTAGTCGGAAGGAAAATATATAAAATACTTTGTAATACACGTAATAAAATACCGTTGCACCTTCCATTTTTTTGCTAGGCTTGCGAGAACAATGAATATATATAAAATATTTCCTAATAAATAAAATACCGTATTTCAGCTGGCTTTCATATCTCTAACATACCCACTGTCCCAGTATTGTCTCGTCTGCATCTCCGTCATCCTCGATATTGTGCGATCAAATGCAAACAGTTCTTCCTCAGCAGTAAACATACTCAGACTTGCACCCTCGTTCTAAACAATGTTTCACAAAGGTCTCAACTCTCAATCGTATATAAGAAGAGTACCTCGACTTGTGATTACGGTTAAATAAAGCTTAGGTTTCCACATGTAGTAACACTGGATCAATACGAGATGACCCTTACTGGACCTCTAGGGAGAAAAGTTTAGAACTGATAGAACTATCCAGTATAAATAAAGTTAGTTTAGTTTAGGTTTCCTCCTGTAGTAACACTGGATCAATAAGAGATGATCCTTACTGGACCTCTAGGGAGAACAGTTTAGAACTGATAGAGCTATCCAGTATAAATAAAGTTTGTTTAGTTTAGGTTTTCTCCTGTAGTAACACTGGATCAATAATGGATGATCTTTACTGGATCTCGAGGAATATTACAGTTGCTGGTGGAGTGCCAGGATCGTACTAGTCTAACAGAGTACATCAGTGCAGTAAATACCTCAGCAATTCCTAAATCGTCCATCAACGCTCTCTGGTCTTCCACTTGGCTGTTTGATACAGGTGATGTTTCAAATAAATATTGAGGAACAGCTTGAGCAGAACAGATGATTCTCACCTTCAATAACAAACACGAAATATGAGGATCGCAACTGAAAATAGTGTAGCAATGATCGATCGTAGCAGGAAATAATGCTGGATCTTGGCAACTATGACTTTCAGACTTGGCCTTGGTGGCAAAAATTTTACGGATTGCATAATGCTAACAGGCACAGAAATTTTTTTATAATTATAGGAACTTTGACCCCAACATGCATATAGGATCCTAGAAACAAAAATATTATTTCCTAGTATGGGAATGACTTGCCTGAGTGTTCAAATGTTTAACCACTTGCTTACCTTATTGTCATAAAACGTATCTATCATAGTAATAAAACGTCTTGCTTCAGTTCGTCGTTGTAAGTTCATCACAGGAATTCCGCGTACAATGATCGTGTCGAAATTTTTACATAATGTGATGTAATCACTTGCTGCTAGTGGCTGAAAGAAGTGTAGAGGGTAGTGAGCTAAGTTTTATACCCGGGAATCGCATCTGAGGGTGGGGCAAAAATTACCAAAGATTGATGAATTGAGAAATTGAGTAACAAAGCTCCAAGGAAGAAACCCATACCTGTTCACAAAGCTGAGAAAACGTAAAGTCAGCCAATCTACCACAGCTGTTGGGCACGTGTAAAGTTCGTCCAAGTACACGAAGATCACGTGCTCCTTCATGGCAATGACGATCAACTGAAATAAAAACTTTTCATCCTAAGTTTCTTTCCAAAGTACTTGCACTTGCAATAGTTAAGCCTCATTTTACTACAACGCAAGCATTGGCACAACATGACATAAGCTATCCGTTGTCTGGATTCTTGAGCCAACTACGGATAAGGCCACCACATACACACGCAAAAGTCTCACATCTTGTAACAAGTTTGTCAACAAGTTGTCTTCGCACTGCTTGTCGCAAGTTGTCAACAAGTTTGCCAGTTTGCCAACTGTTAACAACTTGTAACAACCTTGTTGATATTATCAGACTTGTTGCATTGCAAGGTTGTTCCAACAAGTCCCATACAGTCATGATATAACAATATTGTTACAACCTTGTGTCATCAACCTTGTAACATTCTTGTTATATCCAGACTTGTTAGAACAACTTTGCTACAAGTCTGATAATGCCATCAAGCTTGGTACAAGTTGTTAACTACTTGTTCCAAACTTGTTCCAACAACTGGGAACAAGCAGTGCGAAGACAACTTGTTAAATGTTAATGACAGCTTGTGAACAGATTTGTAACATCTTGTTTGCAGACCTGTAACAACTTGTGCGTTTTTATGTGTGTATGACTCAGATCCAAAATTTGACTATATACGTATAGCGTCTTACTTACACTTGCGGTGAAATTGTCAAAAATAAAAGCTGCAGGTTGTACCTTTCTTTTGTTGTTCTGCAATTCTACCAAAAATTTTATCCAGTTCAACATCTGACTGTTCATCTGAAGAACTAAATACAAAAATTACATTTTTCGACCAGGAATCTCTTCAGATATATTGAAAGAAAGGAGATCTAACCTGAAGTACACGTTTTCTTCATATTTCAAATCTAAAAAGAATTAGAATAAATTTTTGTAACAATTACCAATTAGAAGGAAATGTTATCCAAACACTCCAGAACAGTAATATAACCAGAATAGCTACTGTATACGCAGAATAATTCTATACACACCTAATCGACGATAGTCAACTGCTGAATCAAGACAAATTACTTCACATCTATCCTGTCAAAAATATTTAAACAGATTTTACCCAATTACTGTAATGCAATGCAGAAAACGTCATGAGCAAAACTTTAATTGTCTTTGTATATTTTGGTAAATACCTTCAAAATTGGTATAAAAGGCACAAAATTGCTTCTTTGAAGTCCATTTTTATACAGATCTAAAGAAATGTGTTTTTGATAAGATTTGGTTGTATTGGGCATTTAAACTAGAACACGAAGCACATCAGGTCCATAATTATGAGAGTCAGTTAACTTGGTAAGAATTTTCATGAAAAAAAATTCAAAAAAGACTGTAGTTTTCTACAAGGGAAAAGAGCACTCTTCTTATCACTCACAAAGCAACTTGTCATGATATGCAAATTTTTAATGATTTGTATTACTGTAAAATGTAATGTAAGATTCAATTTGAGGTGCATTACCATCAGGTGCTCTGTTTGATGTTGCTATGACCACCACACCATTTTCAAATAAGGCTGTGAACAAACGACGAAGAATCATTGCATCAGCTATATCAGTCACCTAAAGATCAAACATAACAACATCTGTAATTAACTTTCACACAAAACTGTAACAAGTATTTAGAACTTAAGAGGGTTGAGCATCAGGACATCAGGTGTGGCTCTCACCTGAAACTCGTCAAAACACAGGAGCATGGACTCCTCACTGATCTCAGTTGCTATTGGTGGAATGGGATCCACAGGTTGAGATTTATTTTTTGTTCTATCTCTTGGTGGTAATGTACTCTTGAACTTATGAACACCTGAAAAATAAAGATCAAATGTTTGTATAGATTCTGTATGAAGCAACAGGGTGATAAGTTGCTCCCCAGGTTTGTTAATTAAGGGGATTGATATCATAAGATATCAGAAATTTACAGTAGTATAAAGCAGCAGAGTGGTAAAACACTCCCCCATGGTTTCATTGAAGGTGATAAATAAGTTTTCAGACAATGCATTTTGCAAGAGCTGTAAATTGCTTTCCTAGTTTTGTAAAGGACAGCATTAGGGACTGATAGTCCTCAAAACTATGGTAACACATTTAATTTGAATAATAAAGCTTTAACCCAACACAGGCTCCATGCCATGCCTCTAGCTCAATCCCTCTCCTGCCAAAAAGAAAAACAAGGCCTAATATGCAGGTCAATAAAGTACCCCTCTCTCCATTGAGGAAAAGTTGATATGACAAAATCTGTTAGATCTGTTGACAAATAATCCCTTACAAATAACCCATCAGAGATTTTAACACTTACGACTGTGAACATCCATCATAAAAGCATTAAAATGAATTCTTTGTTTACTTTCCAACTGAACATTTTCATAAAACATATCCATCAACATTGTCTTTCCACAACCTGAGGAAATAAAGTATTATATTTTTTCTCTCTCCTATATATATTTTTGTGTCCATGATCTGTTGCCCCATAATGCTTATAAGCTATCTAAACCAGATCCAAACTTACCTACACTTCCATATAAATAAATGCCTTTGGGAACTTTTTGTTTTAAAACTTTTGAATTACCCAAAACCTACAAAATAAGTACAGAAATGATACTTTTTTGTGTGTGTTGGTGTTATGTACTCAGGTGAATACAATGTTTGTGGTGTTACTCTGAGAGTGCATCCACACCAGACAAGTCACAGTTTTGATAATTCCCACAGTAGTCAGGCAAACTTTTCAGCTTGCCTGGTGTGGACGCACACTCAGAGTAACACCTGACAAACAAGTACAGAAATATCAAAGATGAAGTATAGTACAGTCAATAAATGAACTCACAATGATACCTTGAACTAGCGGCAAACAATATTCTCCTATTAAGATACAACTAGTCATATACGATTGTCATTCTGGCATATGCAAACGACTGCTAAAGCCATAAGGGACCAGTCCATAGACGGATTTTCATATTTTTTACTGGGGTGGTGCCA